GGAACCAAACTTAGGGAAAATTTGGAAAAGGTGAAGAAGGGATATGTAGCCTTACCTACGAGGGTGAGCACTAGTGCAAGTATGATTCCCCTCATAGTGAAGGTGAATGGGGCTCTGCCAGACATGGTGAGACTTTTATGGAAGAAAGCTCAGGAACACGTGGCTGTGTTCTGCTGAATTCTCAAGTTTTTTATCAGTTTATGTAAACACTTCCCTTTCTGCAATCATACTTCCTCTTCAGATAGAATAATAGAAATCAAGTCATACCGTGGCATCTCACTGATTATCTCATAAGCCTTTTGCTCAGTTGTTTAAAAGTTTCTACTTATCCTAGTAAGTTTTACTAGATCATTTACAATAATTTTACAATAAACACGTTACTTAATTTCCTAGGTTGTGTCACAGCTGGCTGCTGATATTTGGTCCTGCCATAGATTAGGTTGATTTTGCCCAGGTTATGCTGACCTGGTACCTGACCTAAACCGTTATCTTGCTGATAGCGGCCCAATTAAGCAGAGAACACTGACAGTGTTCTCCCTCTTCCCTCAGCACTGGTTACAGCTGGCCCTGCAGACAGCAGACAAGGACAGATATCCCTTTGCTATCATATTCCTATGTGCACCAAAGCACATTTAACAATCTAATGAAAACTTATATATATATGCCATATATATATTTATTCAAATAAATCAGAAGATCAGTGTGTCCTTTCAGCTCTGGTCACAATGACCAGGGATATTTTTTAAATGAACAAAGATTTCATAAGCCATCAGTAAATATTTTATCTTTCAAGGTAAATGACAGCCAAATCTGAACAATTAAAAGCCAGAGAGACTCCTCCCAGCAAAGCAGGGGGAATGGGAGTGCAGGTCAGCTAGAACTTTCGCATTTCCTAAGGAGTCAATCCCAAAACACAGCCAGCTTCACCATCAGTTTACAGTGGGAGCCCAGGCACACATTCACACAAGTGCTCTCTTCTAGAAACCTCAGGGCCATGGAGGCAAGTGCAGATGCACAAAACACGCTTGGCCTGTTTGAGTGTGGTGAGAGATTGGGGGATTGCCCAGACTCAGTCCTCCCAAACAAGGAACAAGTTTTCCAAAGCCAGCTGGGTGGCATCTGGATCAACAATAAAAGGCAAGAAAAACGCCAGGGGCTTCTGAGTTGGAGGATGTTTCTGAAGGAGCAACTTAAAGCCTACAGTTTATTGTGTTGCCTGAAGCCACACAAAGCCATGAATCCCACTCAAATTCAACATCTATGACATACTGGTTAATCAGACACTATTTCTTCTCCCACAATTCCTACAGTTGTGTGATTAACCACAGGAGTGTGCTTTGTGGCAAATGCTATTTTAACACCAAGAAATGAACATTAATTTTCTATTTTAGCAGTTTCTACAGTCTTCCATTAGCAAGTGCTGTTCCTGGGTTGTCAGTCCCATACGTCTTGACTTTTTCCAACAGATTCCATGTGGACTGTAGATCCACCTTTGGTTGCACAAACTATTTTGGGAACTGCCACCCAGCTCACTGCAGAAGACATTTGAGGCATGAAGGGTGGACACTTGCAAGAAATGTCTCCTTTTTCATGATTATCCATCTATCTATAGTGTTCAAGGGAACAAGCATGTTTTGTGCCTCAGGTGAGAAGCTCTTTTATACAGTAGTTATTAATTTTTTTATTCATAAATATTTCCTTAAAACAAACTTACCTGTTATGCATTCCAAATAGCTGTACATCTTGTACAACTCAAAACTTGAATAAAGAAACATGAATGCTGTCAGCATGAGAACTACAACAAAACATACCATGGGAGTTCAGGTTTTCATTACAGTGCAGCTTTGTAGGGCATAGTGAACATTAGACATCAGATGGATTGTCTGAAAGCAATAAATAAATCATCAGATAACCTGAAAACTTCTTCTGAGGTCAGCTTTTTGATACAACCATGTCAACATTTCATATCTTCTCATCAACTTCTCTTGCAAATCAGAAAAAAATCTAAAACCAAGATGTCTTACAAGGCTTCCTAGACAAAAGCTTAGAGATAACTGCAAATTAAAAAAACCTGCACAATAACTAAGCTAATTCAACATGCACAGTATTGCCATTATCCTGTATATCCTTCCATTTTCCTTTCAAGAATAACCTGGTTGTATCAGTATTATCTAGATTTATTAGTTACCTTGGCCTGATTGAAATGTACCTGGGCACAGAATGAGCCCTAGAAAATAAGTTAGAACAGACTGCTTTTGCTTTTTTCCTGTGGCAACTGAAGTAGAGCATGCCTGCAGAATCTGGTAGAAGTAGTTCTTCAAAGCAGAAAGACAGCTGTTTTGTAGGGAGAAGGTTCTCTCAAGAAAAATTTCCATTTATTAGGTTTTAAGTTTTTTTGCTATACAGTCTATATCACATGAGCTATATATTGTATAGGCCTCAGCCACTGGGGATGTAGGGGGAAAAAAATGAACAACTCCAATATAACCCTGGAAAGTAAAGTACTCATACATAACCAGACTGATCTTTATGGTAAAAGCACACTCATCAGAGACTTGAAAAAGCAGCAATGAGTATTGCATTTAAAGATTTTTCTGAAACACCACAGTTTAAGAGAACCACTCATCTTTTCAATATCATGCATGAGAAGCTAATAATAGCTGTACTGTAATCACTTGCTGGCAGCCTCTACTTCTTGTTCCTTGAGAAAGCACTCACTGTATTATTTCAAATATACACCTATGTGAAGTGACACACCTGTATCACATTGCTGCAGAAGTCTCCCCCTTTGCTCTTCAAGTCTCCGAGTAAGAAAGATCCTGGAGTTGTTCCCAACAGCTCTAAGTACTGCAATGTCACCCTCTGCAGAACTCATACCATTATTAGCAGTAGCTTCAGACTTAAAATCTTCCCAAATACTGTATATAGAGAAATCAAAAAACTGTAGCTATGTTTTACTTCTTTACAAGGACAGGACTGAATCTGTACTTGAGAATTCCAAACCAAGTCTGAGGCCAGCTCAGGACTCAACTGCATACGCTACTCTAGCTCAGTTCTTCCATGGAGACATCCAAACCTATATCCACTTCTGTAAGGTGGGTTACAGAACTCTAAAGCAAAAAATTAGTACAAAATGTTTATTAATTGCTAGTCACTCAATAGACAGAAACAAGAGTTTAAATAGGTGAGTTATTTAGTTCTTCAAGGCATTGTTATCCTAAAAGTTACTTTCATAAAGAAAACTAGGCTGAAGAAGGAGGGCCCAAGTAAAGCAAACACAATTATCAGTCCCAGTAGGGCACCCACGAGCTCATGTTGGAACAGTAGCAGCCCCTGGTGGCATCTGGATCCTGCCTCAACCATGGAGATCTGCAGTCACTACTGGCTTGAAAATAAGCCTTCTTGCAGAGTCTGTCCTCCCACTTAATATATTAAGGTTTCACTTAAGTTTTTTGATGTGTATGTACTCTTCCACAAATAAAATTCAGGCATGAGCTGCCCAACAGCTGGGAAACATGAAACAGCAACTGTACACTGCTAAAAAGCTAGAGTGAACAACATGACTTTGAACACCCATTTATTAGGTAAGAACAGGAGAAACAGAAATACGATGTTTTCTCTCCAACCTGACTACCCATGCAGCAAAAAGCCCACCAAGACATTAGCATATCATTATATCCACTTCTACTCCCTCACAGGTGCTATATGAAAACCACACAAGTATCCCCTGCAGTTTTCACTGGCTATTACTTCATCTCAAGCTGGAACTCAATGGACCAAACTGCAGCTTTTTACCTTAGTTTCTTTGAGAACTGCAGTTTCTTCTCCTCCCTGTATTATCCTACTGCTATTTTTCCAGATAATCCAATCACTACACTCCATCCCAGGCTGAAGAAAATGGGCAGAGCAACAATGCATTTCAGTGAAGGATTCTAAACTTGAGTTAATTTCCCACCTCTTACCCTAAGAAAGGCAGTTTAAGCTCAGACATCTTCCGAAGGGACAGTTACACAAGGATCTGAGCTATACAAGTGATCACACATGCAGAGCTATATATGATCACATATGCACAAAAACCCAACAAGAGAAGCTGGATTTGTACCGGCCAAGGAAAATTACATGCACTGAGTAAGGTAAAGGATACCTTGAAACATCTTACCTCTAACTTGGCTATTTTTATTACATTATAAACAAAAGACACTTCTCCAAGGCTACACAAAAACTCAAGTCAACTAAAACAAAATCCAACAAAATACAAAACCAGTACCAGATTTGTAGACATTGTACACAGCCCCATAACCATGGTAAGCTTAAAAGTTTACTGCACACAAATCATAGAACCAGGTTTTTTTTAGAATAGAATTACACGTTTATTGTTCACATTTGAAATGCTTTGGTTCCTGACTGAACCATTGAAAGCCCTAATGGATCTGTAAACTGAGTATCACTATAAAACAATTTAAAATGCCATGTAAAATAATATTTATGTATGCATGTTTCATTTCATGGTTTCTCAGCATAACCACTTGTTCTATTTACAAATATATAAAGATTTTGCACTTTAAATCATTAATATATCAAAGAGGTATTTTCAAATCACACAATAAATATAGAACCTGTTTTGTTAAAAATCTACAGTATACTGTACATTCAAGTCGAGGCAAAAGAGGATTTAATGCCAGTTACACTTGAGACATAAATGAACGTTTCCAATAATTAAACAATTTCTAAAAGTGCTATCTCTGCCTGTGATGAAAGGTAACATTAGGATCCAGTATTTCATTACAGTCAAAGTTTCAGACCATTGCTTTATTCACAGAATTAGAGCTTCTGTTACTAGAAAAATATCAAAGCTTTTATATATTTTTAAGTTTTCTTTCAAGAGTTGCAAGAAAGAGGCAAAAAGTGGTCTAAAAAATAAAAGCCATGTGCACACACAGAAACACACCACAATTCAGATCACCACATAATCCTCTAGAAGAATGATCAAACTCACAGCATTCTGTTTCATTTAGAATGATAAGTTTATGAACAAGTCTCTAACAAAAATCCCAGCAGGCAACCCTAGAAGTCTAAGGCAGCTGTTCCATGAGCAAGTTTCTGCATAGCAGAGTGCCAACTCCAGAGTCTTCCCATGACTTTGTGCATTCTTCAGTTTCTTCTTTGTCATCACTTTCCATACACAGATTTGGCATGTTATGTGCAGCAGGTTTTTCTGATGCAACACTGGAAGCAGAAAAAAAAAGTTCCAATGCAAATAAATAATGCTTTGAATGGAAACAGTATTATTTTGATGATATAATGTTTAATATCCTTTGTTATACATCAACCATAAGCTTTAGATTATGCTGTGCTCTATACAGTGTTCAGCACTCTAAAAAACATCTACAACATTGTTTCACAAACCTGTTTTGTGTAATATACTGAGATATCTGGCACGGTTCTGGTGAAACAGTAGGACTTAACACAGAGGGAGGTTTTTTTTGCCGAGATGCAGACTTCACTAAACAAATGTCTGGGTCAGAACCTAAGAGAGACACACATCATCAGTTAAGCTGCAGTCCACTGGAAAAAAGCAAGTCCTTCAAGTCTTTGTGTCCTCTACTAAAAAAAAATTAAAACAAAGGCCTTAAGGCAGAGCTATAATAATAACTCTTACTGATATATACCTGGGATATTTTTTTTAAAAGCATATATTATTGAATGAAGTTATGTTAAAATTCTAAATTTGAAAATGCAGCATTTGCATACACAGCCACCACAGCAAGTAGTCATATGAAGTCACTCAAATGTAATTTCTCACTTTACAATCGATAAAGCTTTTTTTATTCCTCAAGTAAAGACTTCTCCAGCATGCACAGACAGTAATTAACACCAACATGAGAACCTGCAAGCTTGTCAGAATACAGAAAACAAAATCAAAATGAAGTTAGATGTCTTACTGTTTACATGAACCAAACCATCACTCAAGTCAATAGAAAGACATGGCCAACTTAGCAGCGCCTGATCAATCCCTTCTCACATTTAGATTTCAAAGCTTTCATATGAAGTGGAAAAGTGATTACATTAGAGAGTGATTACACATTTTACAGTATGCATGAAAGCACCTGAAAGCTACCTGCTGTGTTTTCAGGTATTTGATACGCACTAGATTGTTTCGCAAATACAAATTCACTACATAAGTAATTACCAGGAAGGGAGTTACAATTCCCTTTTAAAAAAGGAATTTTGAACCATCAGTTACCCTGACATGTGGAGGCACACAGATGCACAGTAAATTTTTTCTTGGGACCTTTTGGTTTTTTAATTGTTTTGTTCATAGTTGTGACTTCTAGTTGAAAGAAAAAGAAATTGTGAAAGAACATAAATTGAACCAAATACTTGCTTCTTAAGAAGGCACTTGGAGTTGTCACATTTTCAGACTTGCAATCAGCAGTCATAGTTAAGAACTGGTGCTTCAGCCATGCTCCTCTATCTTCTTCAAATGCCTTTCTCTAAGAAAAGAAATGACAGTTTACACTTACAACGACAGGAAAAAGCCTAGCCCACATTAAACTGATGCTATTCTACTTCAGAAAGCCAAAGTCATAACATGTCCATGTCACTAAGGAGAGCCAGCAGCTTAACACAGCAAATACCGTCTGTAGACAAGCTTTTGAGCCCAATGAGGATTGGCTGAGGAGGCACTTACAAGCCAAGTCCCACTGTTTGTTCCACAGAGGTCTGAGTAATCCTTTCACTTTACTGCTCTACACCCCAGTGGCACTATCTCCTATGCTCCCTATCCCCCTCAGAGCAGCACTAACTCTTGGAGCAGCCCTCATCCAAGGCAGCTGCCAGGAACAACTACTGCTTAAGCCTCCTAAACAGGGAAAAATTACATTGAAAATAGAGCCAATTGCTTCTGTCTAAAACTGGGGCAAAAAAAAAAGGGGTTGTTTCACTTTCCAGCCCCTCTAAGCAGAAAAAGAAAATAACGCCTAACAGACAAGCTCCAAGAGATCTCACGGCTCTGGAATCAAGCAATAAGGTATTTCATCTCCAAAAACCATCAGTGAAACAGGATGCTCCTATTCTATGTTAGTAGAAAAACAGAGGAAGCTGAACTCCAACGCAAACTTTCACAAACACCTACAAAGCTTTGCATCTCATTTCATACTTCAGCATTGTGACAAGCTGAAGCATGAGCAGTTATATTTATGCTGCAATGTAGTCCTAAACACTTCCAGACAAACAATTACTGTTTATTATCACTCACGATTTTTAAAGCTGAATTCAATGTGCAACATGAAATTAACCAACTCACTAAAATGCAAATAAAATTAAATTAGTCATAGCTAGTATTTGTTACCATGTGAGCTACTGCTATCCCAGTAGCTTAAGTGAAATCTAGATTATTTTATATTCTAGGTCAGACAGGTTGGCCATTTAGCTCCACATTCTCTCTCCAACAATGGCCACAAGAGATGCTATTTATAAGCATTACCACTTTTTGCAGTGCATTCCCTCAAAGATTCCCATTCCCAAAAATCATTTGATTATGGATACTGAAAGGCACCCCCTTGTGCCCCAATTTTTATTATCTGTGTGTTGCCCATAAGCTCAGGCAACTGCTTTTTGAACTTGATGGTACACATTGCCTTTACAATCTCCTTTGAAAAGAAATCCAGAAGTCAACTACCTAACTATAAAAAAAAAACCCAGTAAGTACCTTTTTGGGTATATTTCTGACTTAATTTTAAAATTAAGAGTTCCCTCTAGTCCAAGTCTTGAGGGACTTCGTGAACAACAGTAGCACTTTTGTCTGCTCAAACTGAATCCACAGCTTTATAAACTTTAATCACATCTCACTCCAACTCTCTGTTCTGCACATCAAAGCAAGCTGTTCTGTAAGCAATGAAGTCCATTTATTTTTTCCTGTCACATCTGTACCATCCTAGTTTCACAATCACATCATCATGACCTTTCCCTGCCAAACTTGTAAGCACCTTCACATTCTTGACCCAAACTATGGGCTAGACCAAAGGACATGTGCTAGAGCTCATTCACAGACACATCTACCCTGACTGCCAGTATCTATGTTTTACTGGCCAGCTTAGCTACAAAACCAGAACAGATGATGACTCTACTAAGGGAAACATAGCAATTACTCGGTGTTTTTGCAAAGTCACTGGTTTTCACCAAAGTTTAGAAATCAATTGCCTTTGAGATTCAATCCTGAGGACAAATTTGACTGAAAATTGTATAAGCCTTACTTATAAACCAAACTTTAGCAGTGTCTAAGGGATTTAGCTAGTAAATTTTGTAAGTACTTAAGATATTTCAAACGCTAAAACAAAACTGGTTTGGTTCAGTTGCAGAAACTGTATTTTCCAATACACACAAAAACCTTGGCTTTTTCAATTGCCAAGAGAATGATCTTCCAGAACAACCCAAGATATGTTCTGTACAGTATGGCAGTTATCTTCCTCTGTAGACATCAGAAACTGATATTGCTGGAAGGCTCCACTTTAGCATGTATAAAGGACTTGTAATTCATCTTCCATAAGAGCTCCCTTTCCTAATACCTCAAGTCCTAATCTAATAGCAGCTTCTGTAAAACTTTTTCGTTCCTTCTCAAAATTCTTTTTTTGTTCTCGAAATAGTCTCCATTCTTCCTGAAGACGCTCTCTTTCTTCCAACAAATAGCAGTCTTGTAGTAACAGAGTGGTGTCATCATCATCACATGTAAGCTGTTGCTGGAGATATAAAGCAACAAAAGACAAATGTTAAATTGTGAGTAACTTATAAGAGGTACAGCATTTCCATAGGTTCAATTTTATCAGAAAAATGGTTGAAGTTTAATACGGAAGAAATGCAGTAGATATCAAATTGCTGGATAGTGGGGGAATATTTCAGATAGCAATCAAAATGTCCCTCTTCAGGAAGCCTCACCTTCATTTAGCCCCCCCAAAATTATTTCTACCGGGGTAAAAAGTCCTTAAATTACTAACCAAGCCACTAGCACAGTTAGACAACCCACTAAGTTGTTCTATTTTAAAAGCATGATCAAGGAATGGAGAAAGGCTCAGAGGCAAGAAGAGTGGAGCATTAAACAAAATACACTTGGATTAAATTGAGAAAAATAAGAACAAATAAAGCCTACTACCTGTAAAAGCTGTTGCTGAGTTTTGATCATTTCTTTACATTGTTGAATCTCTAACTCTAGCTTTCCAGTTTCTAGCTCATGGTCTTCTCTTGAAATGACATCTTTTTCATTCAAAACTCCTGAATGTCCACGTGACACTAAGGAAGAAAAAAAAGCATCTTTAAAACAAGTTAAAAAACCCCCAATACTTCATATCAGACACTCCTTGGAAGAACAAAAGGTATTTGGTTCACCCTGAAAGACAGATAGACAGTGTACTCAAAAGCATTTTTATCAGAGACAAGAGATCCAGAGTTGGTACTACATCTGTAATTACCCATTAAATCCAGTTCACGGGGAAAAAAACCCCAAAACCAATGAAAACATGGCTGTTTCACAGTCCTCAAGGTAAACCAACCATCTACACTGCAGTAAGTGTTACACAAAATCCTCACTTGTTTCAGCAGTCATTTAAAAGAAAACTCAAGACAATAAAAGGTGTTTTTTTTTCACTGACATGCTGCTAGCCCATTCTTCTGAGCCCATTTTTGAAGGGCTTATGTGTCCATAAAAATATGACAACAGCTATATTTATCACAGATATAAAAAGAAAGCCTTTTCCTTCAAGTCCTGTGAAGGAGAAATGGAGCTAACTGACATTGGATGCATGTTTTTATTCCAGTAAGGGAATGAATTACAGAAATGGTTGTATTTCATACAATCCCATTCTGCTTTATTTAACTTAATGCATAGCTAAATCACAACGGCTGTAAATCAGCCAAGTTTTGATCCCCTAAAGCCAGTATTTGAACATTAATAGAACCCTGAAGGGCTATACTAGGGTCAACTCATTAAACTAAAAAACCTAGAAGATGACTCCAAAGAAGAGCAAATAATTGTAACTTTTTTTCCGATGCTTACTTTTCAGTTAGTTACACCAAATAAATTATTACAAGCATTCTTAAAATCCTGTCTAGGGTGTAAACATACTCTCAAAGGCCACCTGCTCTTGTATTTGCAATTGCATGCATGACCTTCTCAATCTTACTCTTGACAGCAAACATCCCTGTGGTAGTGGCTGCATTTACTTGCATGGGAAAATAATACTAGGAAAGAATTTTATATATTTTTAGCTGTCTTAATGCTGTTTAACAGCTGGAAATAAGGAGAGTCCAGCACCATCCCATCAGTTGCTTTGTTTTAGAATGCCACAAGAACTCTAAGAGGATGTGGCAAGACAAGGCTCTTGAGAGGGAATTTGGTATTTTGCATTCAGTTATTTCAAACTGTCACATCTGTATTACTTTTTCTAAAATGTATTTTACATGTATATATAATGCAGTTAAACACCAACCTTGGTTATCCAGCTTTTCAACGTGATTTTTCAATATTCGCCACTGTTTTCTAATGCTGTTGGTAAGCTGTTCTCGCACAGTTTCACAAGATAATTCCCACATATTCTCTTTATTTAATTCTCCAATATCTTCCTCCTGGTCTGACAGCACCTGTAGGAGCAGAAATAAGAAGGTGCAAACCACTTCACCCTTCCAAATATGTGTATTTGTTTAAATAAATATGTACACAGATTCAATTTACTGAAGAGAAGAAAAACCCTTACATAAAGGAAAGATTTTTCCATCCAGGGAAATTTGACTCTCAGGAAGTTCAGCTCCCTGACAGCATAATGCTGAGGTGACCAGGCAGTCCCCAGAACCCCACCAGAGACCATGGGTCAGCTAGCAAGACTCAGTCACTCTCACATCTTCAACCTAGACAGGTCCAGACTGCTGAGTTCTACTGTCAGACTTAAGCAGTAGCTGCGCCAGTATGGGGGCAAGTCATCCAGTCAAGTGAAGAAGAGTCCTCACATCTTATAAAGAAGATGACAGAGAATCTAGTGCTTTTCTACATAGCCATGGTAGTGAACTGTTCAATAAAAACATCCTGTGTAAATAAATACTTAAAATCTGGAAACAGACAAACCAACCCCAGGCACGCAAAATCCAGTATTTTGTGTTTCAACGTAGAATTACATACCAGTAGCTACCACATTTAAATTCATTCAAAGAATATTTTCAAGCTTTTAATTGACTTGCTGGAAAGAATACACTGTGTCCTGTTCACAGAGAGCAGAATATTCAAACATGGATGGATTTCACACAAAGTACATGGTGTGCAATCCACTGCAACTCTCATAAGAGGCTTACTGTTTTTAAATAACTATCAAATGACTTCAGCACTATACCAAACTACTATGGAGATTTAATTTTAACTGAAGAACACTTACCAGCCCATCTTCAGATCTTTCTTTAGGTTTTTGTTTCTGTGGTGGAAGAAGTGAAATAATATCTTTCTTCATTTGCTGAAGAACTTTCTTTAGCTCAGCATTTTCCAGTAAAAGCTGTTTTTGGCGTTGTTCATAATCACTTAACAGAACTTTGTACATTTCTTCTTCGTTTCTGGAAGAAATAATCTTACAGTAACAACATAACAGCCCTAATACATGCTTCAATTAATGTTGTTCTAAGACAACTACCTGGCTTCTGTCTTATCAGTCCTCCATGCACCTCTCTTCCCATCAGCTCTACCAACATAATTTAGAACTTCCATAGCTACAAATGAAAAGGATATTTCAAAGTGTGAAACAATATGCAAATAGATATTTAGATGACATTGCATTTATATGTAGTTACTATAAAAAGACCACATTACTCAAATACCACCCCCCTTCAGACTCATGAAACCACATGGCCCTGGTTAAAGCAAAAATAACACCGTTCAAAAAAAAAAAAAAGATAAGTTTTTGAGTTTGAAAACTCAGAAGGATGTATTCTCATCATGTCTTTTCTTTTTTATGCATTTCTTAATGTCAGCTTCACCCCTATTTCAACCTTTATATCAATGTATCAACTCTATGCTCATTTTGGCAATAATGCCAGTTTTATTTCCTGTTTAGGATAAGGAACTTCTTAATGTTTCATAAGCTATTCCTCAAAACAAAGAAACTTCTCTGTGCACATTTGAATAAAAACAAACTAAAAAACCCCAACCACACCACCAACAAAAGCCCAAACCCAATATATGACTACAGATTAGTGGTCCAAGCTGGTTAGATATCAAGAAAATAGTAACTAGTTTAAAACCCTGCTATTTTCATCTCACTGATACTTCAACTAGTACTAGTCACCTGAAGTCAAGAATGTTTAAGTTTTTCTGACCTCCGGATGAAGTTTCTAGAGCTTACTGAACTGATGATATCTAAAGATTTTCTGCAGCCAGAATAGGTGTTCCTCCTACTGTGTCCTAACTTGGTTCGGCTTAATCACAAGGACTTTCAGAAAAGTAAGTCAGCAGAGAACTATCTTGGCAACAACATGAATCGTTTTCTTCTGGTTTAGTGAACTAAAAGAGCTTACTAAAAAATGCATTACAGCTGGCAAACAGCTGAGTTTGGGGGTGGCAGGTGGACAAGAGTAGGACTTCCCTTCTACTGGAAATATATTAGATAAATACTTAAAGGCCAGATATATGGACCAAAAGGTACTCCTCTTTTTAATACCTAACAACAATACCCATTTTCAGCCATTTTTCACAGAAAATTCTATTTATGGTAAATAGCACTGACAAATGTCTTGAACACAATTTTTGGGCAGTACAACATACAAGTACTCATGATAAAGGAGATCTGGTTTCTCCTTATTTCACAGAGTACAGGATGGTACTTCTGCCTTGTGTAACTTCCTCTCAAACCTCTCATTACTTGTGCTGACCACAAGCAGAGTTTAGTACTTCCAAAGTAAAAAAGCTCACAGTGTGCCTTCCTGATGGTAACTGCTTGGAACAATACAGTTTATGATGTTATCCAAAATCTTGTGACAGCAACAGTAGTAAAAAAATAGAGGAGAGATAGCTCTAGCATAGGCATTGATTCCTATGGAATCCTAGGAATAAATTTTCCTCAGTAAAGGAAAAAAAAAAGCCACCAAAAAACCAAATCCACCTCATTTGGTAAACATCAGCATTTGGTTCATGTTTGATAAGTGATCTTATGGAACACAATACACACTACTTACCTAACTTTTTGTCTTTTTTATTCATGACTAACTGATGTAAGCGTTCCTTTAATTTGTTATATTCTCTCTCTTTCCTCTTCATATCATGATTGTATTGTGTAGCTCTACTTGAAATTATGTTCTGCAACTTCTGGACCTAAAAGCAATGCCACAAAAGGCTGTTTCTTGAACTAAAGTACAAACACAGATTTCTTCAGAAAACCAAAATGCATAAAGCAAAACAAAACTTCTATTAAAATGTACTTCTAGTGAAAGAAAGTGACAAAAGGAATCAGAAGAGCTCTCCCACCCCATGGATTCTGATCTCAGACTTATATCTTAGGTAGTTTCTTTTCAGCAAAAACCCACATCAGAAGCAGCAGATTAAAATACTATAATTCCTCTGAAGTACAACTGAATTCATGTTCTGGTAAGTCACACAACCTTTAACATATTTACTGAACAGAGCAGAGAGAGATACATCTTTACTTTCAGTAATTCATGTTCAGGATCTAGGTTTACTCCAATTCTAAAGCAAGCTTGTTAGGCTTACACTAAAAAAAACTCCTCTTCCTTGGGGCAGCAGGACATTGAAAAACAGACTATTCCATTTGGTCTAAAAGAACATTAAAATATCATAAGGCAAATTTTTGACAAGTACTATCAATTCCTAGGGTTGTATTGTTTGGAGTTTCTAGAATTTTCTGATTTAACCTTACAAACATACAGCAAATTCAGTATTAAGCTGGAACTTTAGGAAGTTCACGATGTACAGTTAGTTCTGTGATTCCCAACCATACGAACATGTTTATGAACACAGAACGATCACAGAAACTTAGAGGAGCCACATTCACAAAAACATAGGAGCCATATGAAGTACAATGCTAGGGAAGGAGCATACAGGAAACAAATCCCAAACTAAGAAATGTCATGGGTGTCAAAGCATTTTCTGATGCTGTTTCAAGATATTCATGTTTAATGAGATTGTGTTTTTGAGCTGGGTTTCCCCCCACCTCCCTTATTGGTCCTTTGCTTCCCCCTATAATACAATAAGAAAACCCCAAAAGCCTCCATACACAAATGTTTGAGTAAGTGACAGAATCCTGTTGCCCCTCCTACTTTCTGAACATTCAAAGATATAGCTGTACAGAAAATCTCAGAAAACTGCACATCTGCATTTCTGCAGTAGTCTCTACTATTGTTGCAACTTTGAACTCTCCCTTACAGAATCTATTTATCTATATGCAACATGCCAGTCACTTTGAAAGACATTTACCAACAAAAAAAAAACACATTCAAAATGAGCAATTACAGCACTCTGTGCAAGGAAGAAAAAGAAATCTTCAATATCTATATAATGACTTGGGTTAATGTACAAAACAACTCACTTCATCCTTTTCATTTTTAAGTAACTGGTGCAAATTTCTGTTCTTGCTTTGCAGTTGTCTGTCTCTTTCCTGAAGCCCAACTACTTCCCTTTTAGATAATTCACGGCTTGGTATTTAAAAGATATTAACTTTTACAATTAGGACATTTTCATTAAGTCAGGATTCTGTAAGCATATCTGTACTCTGAGAGTGAGGTGGATACTAAGCAGCCTGGATGAATTTGGAACTACAGTTTCACTGGAGCATTTTTGTTGAATAATAGAGGGTACAATTAACACAGATATACAGACTGTGACCATAACAATGCAAATGGAACATCTCACATACACAGAGAAGGACAGACGGATAAGCTCATCCTAACAGACAATGCAAAACTAGCATTTCAGAAAGTTTTGTCCACAAATAAGACTCAGACCTGAAATTGGCAGCTTAAATGACATCCAAATACTATATACAAGCTTTTCCTTTATATGCAAAGCAAGGTACAAATGTGCAGATATATTTAAGCAACAAGAACTTCTTAACAAACCACAGTGAAATACAGGTGACACAATAGTGCAAGTCAGGAGGATTGCTGTATGGATCTGAAGGAATCTACATGAGAAACCTCACAAGCTGACAGCCAAATTAAATGCTCTGGGATTTATGTAGCACTAGATTTCCCTCTCCCCTTAAAGCTATTCATCTAGGCAAAATAACTGGAGTGCTTTAGAACCTCACGTTTTATAGTGTTTGTATAAAAATCAGTGCAGTTACAGATAACTTTTAATGTCATCAAAATCCTTCTACATGAATGACCAATCTCAGCAAAAGGGCTACTATGATTTTGAAAATCCACAGCAGTATTTCTCAGGGAGATGGTGCCAACCAGCCCAAGTGAAAAGCAAACCTAAAAAAGCACCGAGTCATGCACTGAAATATTTTCTCTTTTTTTCTATTTTATTTTCTTAACAGAATTAAGGGAAAGTCAAGTCTTTTCTAATATGACTGCACATACAAGTGCACCCAGGAACTTCCAATATATCAGCTACTCCACAGGGGCTGGCCTTAAGCATGTGTTTACCCTTTGATAAAATGAAGCTTAGTAACTTCTGGTTTGACAACAGATTCTGAGCAATTCTTACAAAAAGACTTTATAGCTGGATGTTCAAGAAATCCAGCAACAAAAAAAACACATATAGAAAGCTAATGATATGGAAAAAGACTAATAAAAACCCTGCACTAGAAGAGTTATCCGTGCTTTTACCTGCTACAATTACATTGGGGATTTATCTTTTAGAGCTGGGCATACCTTTTTAGGTAATGCTAAAATGCTAATAGGAACTGAAGTGTTTAATACTCAAAGTGTACATTAACACTCCCAATTCAGTCTTTCCCCTTCCTTGGTTAAGGAGGCTAAAATTCTAATTAGAAGTTTTCTTATTAACTCATATTTCGTTAACTCTAAGGCATTTTCATTTGGAAAAAAGACTTCAAAAACCCCAAAATATACATGGAAATGCAACTGCAAATTAGTACTGGGTAGGAAAAAAAAATAAAAAAAAAGACTTGCTGTTAAGAATGCAGAGAGCTGCATAATTCTAGTGGAATGATCTTGTTTTCTACCTTTAACTTAGCATAGCAGTTCTGTAAGTGATCCATATCACTTCCCAGTTTCAGATGCTGCATTTCTACTTCTTCCTGAGCTCGAAGGTTCTTGTGCTGCAGTACAAGCAATCCATTCATGCAATTTATGATAGATATTAAATTTAATTCTTTTCCTCTGGACTCTGCATAAATAGAAGGAAATCCCAATGTTGTCAATTCCTGGTAAAAGACAAGGGGGGAGAGGGAGAAAATGAGATCAATAACTGGATCAATCTCTCACCATTCTCCAAAGGAAGAACAGTATTAGGTGAAACCTGTATGTAGGGGGAAAACCTGAATCTTACTTCCCACCAACTTCAGCTGCTGGGCACTGATGAAGAAGCCTTATTAATCCTGTCAATCTTTTTTTTATCACAATCAATTGTGTATAGGTAACAATCTCCAATAAACAGAAAGATCTTGCTTACCCTATCAATATAGGATATACTCTGTTCAATATTCTCTTCTGTGCAGAAGGCACCGAAAAAGCTGTGCATGTTTTTGGATGAAGGCAGTGACAAGCGTAGCACTTGTGAGCTCATGCTTGTAGGAGATCTCTTGCTTTCTGAGGTATATGGAAGTGTATTTTTGCTATCTAAAAGTTAAACATTAAGAAGAAATCAGCTATTATTTTAACACATCACATAAAAATCAAAGCCTTATGTACACAAGTTATTTACAGAAATTTAGATTCAAGTTATTTACAGAAATTTAGATTCTAGAGCTGAGAATTTGATCAAGAATGACATTAAACAATTCACAATATATATAAAAAAGAAACTTCCACTGAAGATTTAGTCAATAACACTTTGGAGTGTTGTACCTTTCAAGTGTTACTCATCCACCAAGAAAAAACTGACCACACTTCCTTTTTACTGACTTACTACAACACGGGTGCAAGAGATGTGCATTCAGTAAAATTCTTATAGAATGTATGATATTATTATACTTATTAAGTGTATGCTGTATTCTTCCACTAGGCAGAAATAGGCAAGAAGGTATTTACTCCTTTAACAAATTTGTAACCAATTTATGAAGCAAAAGAATATAGAACAACCATGCTGTTTAATTACTCAAATATGTCACGCACAAAACTCCAGTCTCTCTCCTTAGCTGCTATAGAATCGCTGGTAAAATCAGCAGATGAACAAAATTCAAAATATTCCCAGTTTACCTGGTGACAGCACCGGCACAGTAATAGTCTTCCAATCTCCCATAGCAACAGAGACAGGCTGGGTACCTGAGTAACTGGTTCAGCAGCAAAGTATTTAGTACAATTGCTAGCAATGTGTGTTACGTAGGCATCTCCTAAAATAGCAAGAGCATTTTAGATTAACAAAAGCAGCTAATACAGCTAGAAGGTTAAAGAAGGCACAGGAGAGTGACTACTGAACTTGAACCAAGTGAAATTTTTCTACTTCTTTACAATGAATTGAGAGCGATAAGCACAGCAAATAGTATTCTGTAAAAATGATGCATCTTTCTATATTTAGCCTTAACTGTCTTGTAAGCCATTAACTAAAGCCAAAATGCCATACACACATGAAAATAAAGACTCATACTGTAGATAACTAGTTGTTTCTGTTGATGTACATCAGAGAAAACAGAGCAAGCCAAATACTTTTTCCTGCCATATGTAACCAGGAAGCAATTTTATTATCGTAAACTTATATGAAGTTTTAACATATTTCTGTCTAAATGGGATTGTTACTTAAAGAGATGTATTACAAAGGCTCTAGAGAGGATATATAGGCAGAGGGCAAAGGAAATTTAAATAGATATTTAACCATTTATATTAACTTATACATTTAGTAATACTGCCTTTCCCTAGCAAGTTGCTTGCTTCCTTGCAGAAACTCCGAAATTGTTGAAGGAAACAAATAGGAGAAGCCTTAGCCTTGTTGGCACAGCCACTCAGTACAGCACTGTCCCTCTGGAAACCAAAGGGAAGCCACCCACACGAAAGAAAGAACAAACTAATTGTCCCCTCACCCCACCTCCACTGCACACTAAGAAGGCACATAATAGCATTAGTTATCTCTCACTGCTGGAAACTTTAAATCCAGCTTGGATGCTAAAGATTTGGATAGCACAACCCATCAGCTGTTACAGGAACAATGATACTTCAGGGAAACAAACTTTCCACCTGACAGAAAAGAAGGCCCCTTTGTTTCAACCAACACTTTGGAAGGAAGTCTAAAGTCTGTTTTAGATGGATTCAGTAGATTTTACAGCACAGGGATGTTCCTCCCTAACCACTTGCTAATGTTCCAATAAACACACTTAGGCTAAGCAGTTTCTAAATTTCTGACACCAAAGCCTTGTACAAAATGCTCATCACTAAAAAAAAAGCCCTCTAAATAATTATCCAGCTAGATAAACGTTTTTCCAGGTTCATAAATGTACACGGGGAAAAAAGGTAAACAGTTATTCCTCCCATGTGTTGTAATTTAGTAGCTCCTGAAAACTTCCAGATCAGAAAGTACACATAAGGCAGCAAGAAAACAGTCAATGTAACAATTGTTGCTGTTCTTGTTAAAGAAATGGTTTGCTCTGCTTTCTCTCTACACGATTTATGCATATTTTTCTTTCTTTCCCCCAGTAAAAGCAAGATGTTCACAAATTAATTGGACAACAGTGCCTTCAAAATGGAATTCAGAAGTACATAACTATTAAGAGGACACACTTTTTATATGCTACTTTCATTTCTGCTGGATCTATCAGATAGATAGACAAACATACGAGAAAAAGGCAGCAAATGAAGGTACAAGTATGTTTAAGTATGTTTTCATTACTGACATCACAATCCTGCAAGCTAATAACATTTTTTCAAAGATTATTAAGAACCTCAAGACAAATTCCATCTAGGACTGTTGGAAAGTCCACAAAAATACTTACCTAATTTTAGATATGCTGCTACTTCCAAACAATCTGGCTTTTATTCTTTAAGAGATTGCACCCACACTCACTGAACACACAGTATTATCAACCCCCAGGTCTCTCTGCACTGACAATACTACTCTGACACAGCATCTGTCACCCTAAACAATGTCTGACTGGAAGCAGGACTAATCCAGGTCTAAGAATGCAATGATTCCCGAAATTTTCACCCTGCAAGTCACACACACATTCATTTAGAGCAGATGCTTCAGCAAGACTACCCTGTACACAGGCATTTGTTATAGTTACTTCCCTACCAGGGTCAATGACTTGCCCAAAAACCTGCTTTCACCCACTGCTTTCTAGAGGTAATTGCCCCAATTGGCAGTGTCACTTCCTCTCCCAAGCAAGACATTCCTGGAGGCCAAGGCATGGATGGATTGTGCAAAAATGAGCCTCTGGGACCCAAATTCAAAAGTGTGAATACAAGAGCAGAGCCACCTCACTGAAAAAAGAAATCTTGTATTAAATAAAAAGACCACAACATACACCCCACTGAAATCACAGAGCTTGATTAAAACCAAGGAAGTAGTAATCAAACCAAGGCATTTAAGTGCTAGTTGGAACAAATGAAGTATAAAAACCCCAAGGAACTTTTTAAAAAAAAGCACTGCCATGGTAATAACATACCAGAACTTCTTTGAAAGCCACCTTGGGAATTTTTGGACAAAAAGCTACAGAAGTATTTCCAGAAGCTTCTAGATAATTCACTAATAAATACATCTTTTTTTTCAAGAACACAGTTACAGTGATAAACTAGTATAATTCATAAGCCCAAAGAGCTGAAAGAAGCTGTTCATAAAATTACTGATTTGTGTTTTGGGGGACAGGAGAGGAACTGACAATAAATGTGCCAAGATTTAAGACAGAAATCTGATTAAATAAGTCTGAGTTCAAACCATATAAAAACTTGAAAATCATAAGCAGCAAGAAGTAGAATTATAAACTTAACACAGTACCAGTGCACTAAAAAATTCTAAATACCACATTTAAACTTGAAAAGGAGCAGTTGTAACTGGGTTTGTAAAACACACAATCAGCAGAGAATTGTCACAGTGCTGTGGTCATATTGCATCCCTTGATCATCCCTAAACCAGACAAGTGGGAAACACAGTATTTGCTAACCCAGAAAACTTCCATCCCTCCACCAAGGCAGGGAGGATATGGAAAGGCAACTCTGGAAAGGTGCAGTGTCTCAGAAGAAAGTTTGTAGAGTCAGTATCAACCAGAAATTGTCAACACTCCTTCTCTGTATATTTCAAATACTACAACTTGTGACATGCATGTGTTCCAACTTGTAAAATTGCGGGGGTACTTAGCCTTTACTTGAAGACCAGTGTGATTCTTTTCTTCTCAAATAATATCCAAAGGGAGCTATGGAGCTATTTAAAGCTTTTACATTTGCCTAGTAATCCACAGATGTCACACAGGTGGCTTTTATCCAGATAGACAAAAAGACAAAAGTCTAGGTAAATTTAAGGTACGCTCTAGACTCGACATTGTAGGTTTACAAATACATCCCTGATAATGCCATGCCTTACACTTACTTTAATTCATGCAATTGCCATGAAAGTCCCTCCATTTCCTCCCTGGAGTTTTGACATTTATTGTCTCTCTACAGAATTCCTAATAACAGTGTATCATTAGCACTAATCTATATATATTACATCCAGTGATAATGGTACAGTAAAAAGAATAATTTCCTCTAAAAAATTATTACAGTTTTAGTGACCTTTATTTAATATTGTAATTTTAGTGATGGCTCTTGCAATTAAATCTGAACCCAGATTTTTCTTCCCACACTAATAAAATTGTGGCAATTTAATCATTAATCTATTAGCTTCAAAATGAGGGTGAAGAAATCCCTCAACTTATCCACATTCTATGGAAAGTTTAAGCTGTATCAGCTGAATTTCCCAGTATTATCAAAAGCAACATGAAAAATCAAGTCAAATCACCCAGCCTGTGGGTATGAAGTCTCTGTTAATTCAAAATGCATCATACTCAAAAGTCCCAACTACATTTCTCCACTCCATTCTACTTAGAAAAAAACAAACAGGAAAACAAATTAAAATTACCAAGTTTTTTAAGAAAATAAATATTCCATCTTCTCAACACATTTAATTTCACAAAGCTATACTCTTCCATCTGATAAAATTGAGTGTTCAGTGACTGTTCTGTCATGGTCTTTGCCTCAAACACTCAGGTTACAAGGAATATAATCAGATGTATTACCTCAAGATTCAACTCTACATCCTATGCACACAGATGACTGAAATTCTGTTAATTCAGTCACTGAAAACACTGAAACACATGGAAACATTTTATCTGGCTCCCAAATTCCTACCCCATTTTGACCTAACACAATGGATTTCACATTAGCATTTTCCTATCATTGAACAATAACTCTATTGTTAATATTCAAAACTGCATTTCTCCCTTAGCACTCACAAACCACTTACTAAAAGTAGCCATAGCAGAACATTCTGTTACCAAATCTCCCTATGTGACAGACAAGAGGAGAACCTCAGAAACCAGTTCTGCATGTCCTCTTCTTCCTGAGGTCAGCCTTAGTCAAACCTTACAGCTGTCTCTGCAAGCAGACAACTTTTTAAAAGAAAAGCAAACCACTGTCTTATTGGTTCCTAAAGTTGGTCAGATATTTACTGGGCAGAGCCAGAACTAGTATTCCAGATATCAGAAATTAGGAAACTTACATGCTTCAGTAGCATATAACCTGAAAATTAAATCAGGCATGGAATGCAAGAAGATAACTACATAACTTCTCTAGAGATTACCAGGGAATTCGAGGAATAATTCTCCTGTAAATTCTAGGTTTTCTGTTAATCAAAACATGCCACAGAACAGACGTGACAACTCCAAACAACTGGGATTGGTGAAATGTCAGCATACCTTCTGTGGAAGGAAGGAACACTAACAAGTCTGCCACAGTGCTCTGGAAGAAGGAATCATCCAACAAGATCTGGACAAGACAGCATAATTGCATTTTCAAAAAGCTTTTCACAATGTTCCCACCAAAAGCTCTTCAATTAAAATGTTAAGGTATTTATTAACAACTGATTATAAACGGGAAAGGGCAAAGTGTAGGAACAAGTTATAGAAGGGTGAGCAAAGTGCATGAAAGTCACAAAGAGACAAAAATTAGAGTCAGGCATTTCTGTTGTTCAGTGGGTTTTAAAAAAGCGATGAACACGTGATATACTCGTGTACTAGACACAGTTATTCACAAAAATAAACACAGATTGAATGATAAACTGCAGAAAGTTGTCCTCAAACTGAACAAATGGATAATAAAAATCAGCAGCTGAAATTCCTTGTTCATAAACACAAACTAACACAATGAAACACAACTCTGCTATGCACTTAAACCAACAGACTCTATTTAGGCATTATCATGCAGGAAGAGATCCTGAGTCCCTGTGATTAGTCCTCTGGAAATAACAGCCCCCAGGCAGTTAATAGAACCCTGGAGCAGAGGGCAGAAAAGACCACCATAATGACTCCTGATGAATACTGAGCTTCTCCACCTTAAATAACTCACAGAGGTACAACCTTCCCTGTAAAAAAAAGACAGAATCTACCTAAATATGGTGCAAGAAAGGTCAAGCAGTGCTTTCATATGAGAAACTAGTAAGCTGTGACTTTTCAACCAGAAGAGGAAACAGCTGGAGAAACAGAACAACACACAGAAAACAAATATTCTTTGCTTCTTTTAACACAGCAGTTATAAAGAACGCAATGAAACATTAAGTGCAAAAGCTGAGAAATAAGGGCATTTTTTCCACATAAAACACAATTAAACTGTGGACCTGCATCACCAAGAAGTGCTGTGAATACTCAGTATATAAACTACCTCCAATTTTTCGAGAAACATCCATCAGCATCTATTACATTTTAAAAGATACATACAGCCTCTGCTCAGAAATCCTTTAACTCCAGACTGCAGCATCTTGGGAGGATACACATATAAAAGCATTACTGTACAACCAAACTATACTTAACCTTTTTCCCTTAGCATCTGCTGCCAGCTTCAAAACCAAGATATTTATCCCCATGAGCCTGGCGTTACCCTCTCCCATGATATTTCTGGTCCAAATTAAAACTGATATTAGTATCACAGCTTTCTGCCCCCATCAAAAAACCCTAAAAATATCTTCCCCATAAATGCCTATAATTTGAAATCCCCATTCATTGTATCAAATCATTTCTCCAGGTCTCCTTTCTAAGTACACTATTAAGATTTACCTAATTCGTTCGCATTTTACTTCGAATGCCTCTTATTTTAAGTCATTGCCCTGAAATTCCTATCATACCTTGGCAGCCTATGGAGCTCTGCTTAACTAGTTATTTCACTCAGCACTGCAAGCAGCAGAGCATTCTACATAATCTGGGGATGCAGGAGCACTACAAACTAGTCTCGCGTTACGCTTTCATCTTCGAATTTAAAGTAGCTTTGCCGCAAATAAATAAAATCTTAAATAACGTTTAAAAAATGTCCAAGTCACTTACGAAACCTGTACTCTTCCATCACGTGAGCCGCCAGCTCAACTCCAGCAGCCACAAATTCCCTGACTCAGTAGAAAGCTTTACGGCTCTCACCTCCGAGCATCTGCCGCTTGTAGCTTCGCAGAGACAGCAGACGCTGGGCCCTACAGCGCCGGGGGCAGCGCCGGCACAGCCCAGCCCCGCCGCGGCTCTCCCTGCGCCCCGCGGTCAGCCGGAGCCTGAGAGAACGGAGCACATGTCAGGACCCACACCCGCCCGGGCCAGCGGCAGCTGCGCCCCCGCAGGGGCCCTCCCCCGGCCCGGGGCGAGCCCAGACTACGGGAGCGCCGCACCGCCCGGGCTGGGCAGGAGCGCCCAGCACAGCAGCGCCGGTACCTCCGCCCGNCGCCACCTGCCCGCCGCAGGCCCGCCTCCTCCGCCAGCTTAAACCCGGCCCCCCCGTGCCATCGCGCCCTGCCTGCGTAAGCAGTCACTCTCTCTCTTTTAAAAGCTCTCTTCGGGAACGGGCAGGTGTGCTGAGGTTTGCCCCGAGCCATCCATCTCCAGGCTCAGCAGCCCCAACTCTCTCAGCCTGAGGTGCAGAGGTGCTGCAGCTCTCAGAGCATCTTCGTGCTCTCCTCTGGACCCGCTCTCCCAGGACAACACCGTTCTGTGCTGAGGACACCGGAGCTGGGAGCAGTGCTCCGGGCGGGCCCTCACGGGAGCACAGAGGGAGAATCCCCTCCCTCGACCTGTTGGCCGCGGTTCTTTGGATACAGCCCTGGACAGGGTTGGCTTTCTGGGTTGGCTCATGTCCAGCTTTTCATCCACAAGAACCCCCAAGTCCTTCTCCCAGTCCCATGTCACAAAAATGCCTCCCTGTGGAAGACCTGACAGCCCTCTCTGTGGCTGGGAGTGATGGTGAAGAAGCACCAAGATACCCAGTATGACACATGCTTTATTGCCCAGAGAACATCAATTAAACTTTCCAATGTCACACCATTAAATATGTGACATGCTGCCTTTCAAAATTTGAAGTTTTCATCCTAATGTATTTCCAGGTTATTAATTTTTGATATTATCAACCTTAACCTGTTGTTGTATTTTTTAAATTAGGATGAAGTCACTAGAACAGGTCCAAAATTCTCTTTATAGTTAGCTTTGAGGAGAGTACTTTGTTGGATGATTCAGTGCAAGTAATCACAAGCAGTAAACAAAGTGATCGCAAGGAAAGAGATTCATCAGAAAATCTGATACCATAAAATGGAAATTTTGAGGCATGGGGTGTTTTCAAACAACCACGAAAGATGCTGAAAAGACCTCATATTCAAATAAGATAATGTGAATAATTAGCATATACATACATATTCAGGAATGTAATGAATATGTAGTAGAAATGTGATTAATATGCATTAGATCCACGGATATAACCTGGCCTGTTGGGTTCCTCTTCATGAATGCTTTGAGGAGAAATCCCCATTGAGCACTGCTAATAAACTATCAGCTTTCTAACCTAGTAAATTAATTGGGAGACTTTATTCCCTGGTTTTGGGTGGCAGGGAGAGATTGATGATGATTCTTGTTATTTTTTCTTCAAAAGCAAGGGTATTATAGACCATATCAAGAAACTAAAAAAAAAATAAAAAAAATTACTGACAGAAAAGAGGCGCAGAATGCAGCAAGACACTACCATAGAGACATAGCAGCAATTAAGATATAAAATATGTATTTTTAATAGATATGCTCTGTGTGCAACTAGGGATGGAACTGCAAAAGAAAATGGAACTTGTAGGTTTTCCTGCCACAAACACACAGCTGTGTTATCACTGCCTATCACACAGCTGTGATAAACCTCCCTATGTCACTCATACTCTGCTTGCCCTGCTTCCAGATCCTTTTCATTCAGCATTTCTGGTTTTCAAAGGTCAGCTCAAGAATGGAAAAATGCTGAGTAAGATCACAATCAGCTGTTTAAAAGTCAACAAAATTTAGCTTCCAGGGCCAAAATGTACTCCTGCTGTATATATTGGAAATAAAGCTATTTCTCTCATTGATGAGCAGACGATAACTACCTCTCCAGGCGGGTGAAAAAGAATATGCATAGGCCAAATAAACTGACTATTTCTTGCTGTGTCAGAAGGATCTTCTGTCAACTTGCAGAAATACTGATTATTGTTTTGGCTTTTGGTACCTTTGCAAAAACACTAAAAAATGTTTTTAGTAACTATATTTTTTTTAGTGTTATTTGGCTTGTAGGAAATCATTCCTCACAGTGCAGAAGAAAACCTTCATTTTATCACTCAGGTTAATGCAAAGACTTTGGACCTTTATACTGCAGCTTTGCCACAGGTGCACTCCAAGGAGGAAGCAGACTTACACAGAATATGTTAGTGGTAATGGCAAGTGGGACAACAGACCTTGTTCACAGGAAGGATTAAGCTCCTGGAGCTTTAAAACATAATACAGCCATGGGTGGTGCCGAATTCTCTTTGTCCATTTGATCTTAGCAGCTGTTCCTGAAGTTGATGCTATTCAAAGGAGAACTCCCAAAGCACTCTGCATGATGGATCAGGTTTGGTTTATGTTTTTTTAAAAGGCTGGCTAGGAAAGGAAAATCTTTGTGGGATGCATTTAGGCAAAATTATCAGGAAATTTTATGTTATGAAAAACTGTAGTCCAAGACAGACCTTCACCAATGCACCAATTTGGTATAACACAGTCTATGTAAAGTGTGGTGAGAAGTAAAACACAGCTTTCTAAAGTGATTCATAACAGGGTGACATAAGGAGGATTTTGGTATAGAGAAAGGGTGTCTTTGGAAGCTTGGGGTCCTAAGGGATAGAGTAAAGGATAACATCGACTATTTCCCAAACTCTCTTGAGTAATATAAATATCCTGTAGTAGATGTCAGGTCTTTGATGATACCCCAAATTTTTAGACTAACTCCTTAAACAGTTTTTTTCTTCTTTACTTGGGCTTGCTTGAGTCTAATCAACTGAATTATCTGGAGTCTCCTTTTATTTTGTTTTATAATTCAGTTTAAAAATAACCAAACAACTTGTATTATTTCATAGCTGTTCCACTCTGTCATATAGACTGTTAGCCTAAAAATTAAATGTAGTTCAATTTTTTTTATAAACATGCTATATAGCATAAATTACTAGAGAAATCTTGAAGATGTATTTATAATTTCTTCTTTGTAATTATTTGCTAAAAATTTGGATTAAGAATTATAATGGGAAAAATATTAAAGAGCCAGAGCAAACTATGAAGTGAAATATACAAAATACCTCTCAAAACTTGAATTCAAGCTGGATTAAACCATAACATGAACAATCAGACAACAGGCTCCAACAATTCAGAAAGAGAGGGACTGATCCACAGTTTGTTTGCATTTCAATTCCAACTCATCTTCTTAAGTACATTCAGAAACGCTGTTTGCTGGAGTGGTTTCTATAGCAGTGTCCTGCTTGATTACAAATCAGCAGGGCTGACGAACCCTGGACTAGCAGAAGCTCATTAAAACGTCTGATCCGGTTATGCAATAGGCCAGTGGCAGCCTGTGACTCCTTTATTGTCTCTTGGTGTAAGAACTGCATCTCGACAAAGCCCAGCTCATAGGGCTTTCATGCCTCTTTGTGGAGGTGCATAAAAATAACCTCATAAGCCAGTCTGTGGGTTGTGCTCTGTGTTAGTAAGCATTTTAAGGTCTGCTCTCAGTTCCAGCTCACACATTAGAAGCTCCAGTAATGCCTTTTGGAGGCTCCAAAGATGCAGAGACCTACAGCAGGTCACAGGACTTTACATTCTTAAGCCCACCTGTGTGATCCTTTTCTCACTCTCCCCCAGTGTCCCACTACATGAGAGTCACTTGGCTCAGTATTTAAAAGGCATTCAACTTCTGGCTGAAAGTTTCCTCTGCTCCTATACTTGGATAGTGAAGTTTCAGACTAATCCCTGTTAGGTAAAAGAAAATTAGAGAGAAAGATGCCTATCTTTCCCAGGGAGTTTGACCAAGGACACCAACAGTCACAAAAATATCCACAGATAAGATGGTGCTCTTACCTGTCAGAGTAACAAGTCTTTGTGCCAAGCCAAAGCCACGGAAAGCAAACTAAGCTTCAGGAATCCAAGTGGGTGCAACACAAAAAGGATGCTGACTCCACAGAAAAGAAACCACAACCAAAACATTTGAACAAGACTGCCTCGGGGTGAGTGACAAGATGCCAACTAAAACACGGACTGCCACTATTTCACTGCTCCTCCCCAAGATTGTCTACATAGTTATGCTTTAGCACAGGCCCTGGTTTTTATTGCACCCCCATCTGACTCAGGTCAGCTCATTAATTCTATTTATGTTACTTTTTGTTGGGCTAGAGTTCCAGCAGCTTAGCAAGTGAATTGGTTCACAGAGTGTTCCAAATATGCTAGAGCAAGTACAAAACAATCTAGGATAGGAGAGAGAAAAAAGAAAGAACAGGGAGAAGAATGGGACTCCCCAATTTTAGTGTCAATGTCAATGAGGCATTAGATACTATCCCCTTTCAGGGAGCTACAACCACACGTTTCTCTCTCTGCAGCCTTATTTCTGATTAAAGATGGGAGCAGATATTTTCCTCAGTTAACTATCTCCACACATTATATGTGTACCATAGGCATGTAGGTACATAGGCAATTTTATTCCATTTTGGGAGGCAGGCACCAGGTAAGCTTTCACTGAATTTACCACAAAGACCTTTGGTGGAAGATAACACATCCAATGGCTACAGTGCCTGCAGCAATTGAGGTTCCTTTTTGAAATGGTTCAGACTATTAGTAGTTCAAGGGACCTCTTCCATGAAGTAAGGAGCAGCACAGACAATGCCATTTAGTTTAACTGTGTTGAAGAATTTCAGTGATGCAGATATTTCATGACAAATTTTGATGTTAGTAGCTATAGCAACTCATGCCATGAAACAGCTGTTCTCCTTCCCACCCTATCCTGTACTACACATACATCATCTTTGGAGAATATGTGCAATATTTTGCATGTCTGCTTCAATCTCCATCTGAAGAAGCTTCACAAGAATTTGTTCAGCATCTCACACTTGTGAAATATCACTACAGGCAGGGCTAAACGTCACTAAATCTTGTGCATCTAACTGCTCTCCTTCATTAGACCAGCTGCTGAAATAGTTGTGCAAATGCCATTACCAAACACTAAGGAACTCAAAAATGATTGAAATTGTTGTAGTGTGTTTTTAAAGGAGGAAGAGCCAAAGGTAGCACCAGGGAAATGAAGAGAAGCTCCCACAGCTTGTGAAAAGCAGCAAAATAGCTGCTTTTCAGGGGAAAGCAATGAATGAAGTGTTAGTTTGGTGTCTGCAGACAGTGTGTGTTTTATCAGATGTCTCACCATATGATCTCTCACCAGTCATGAAAACAAGACTTTTTTTTTTTTACTGTCAGCAAATAAATAAATCAGTATCATAGTTCGGCACCCCAAAATAAATACACAACCCCAAACTCTGAGGAGTTATAAGAAAAAAGGGAGCAGGAGTGGTGTTAATTTTAAACATGTGGGAAATGAGGCACCAAAGTATTAAGTGTATCTTTAGGGAAATCCATTCCATAACCAGTGGCTGCAATTTATTTTCTTAGTTCCAATTTCAGATCATTACAATATTACCTTTCAATAAAAATATGCCCCTGACACAGCTGAGTTTACCATTTGTTTTTCAGTCCTATAAAGCAGCACAAGCCTGAGAACTACCAGGACACTACATGCAAATACAAATCTTCTCCTTCCATGAGAAAACTTACTGTAACATAATTTATTGACTATAAAAAGAAGAATTAATGGCCCAGTGCTACTATAACCATACAGTGAAATATTTAATAAAATAAAATTTCTAGAATAACGTTTCATCACAGCACTGTCCTTTTAGTCTGATACCCACAAAGCAACATGAAGTTTTAGAAAAGAAACATAATGTAGTAATTTCAATCCATCTCTCTTTAGCTGATCTCTGATTAGCTTGCAGAGCCATTAAACTGCAGTTGTCCACACAGAACATAGTTGATACTCCAGTTTTTAAGCATTCTCAGCTGCAACTAGTTTTGAGCAGTGCCTCTCCCAAGAGAGGTGCTTCATGTCACTCTGCTGGAGTATAGTCTGAGCTAGGGTGAGTTAGACACTTAAATCAAAATCCTTTCTTTTTTCTTTCAGGATGAGCTCAGCAAAACTTTATGAAACAATTGTGTATGTGATTCTCTATCACTCTTCAGTCTGGTGAGTGCTGATGCTCAGGTGCCTATGTACAATTTAAACTTCATGTGCACAGGTGACATCACCTGCACTAGTTAAAAAAAAAAAAAAGGGAAATTTCAAGACAGATTATCAGCTGAATGGAAACTTTTTAACTATTTAGCAAAAATGCAATATTCAAGTCAATATCTTAAAAATACAATCAAATATTTATCCTTTAAAATAAATTTGAGGCACAACAGTATGGAAGTGAGCAGTTATCTCTCAGATATCTTTGCCCAAACATGCTGTCTCTGCAGAGTTGGCCTGCCTCTTGCATGCTGTGCCTGCAACAGAAAGGCAAAGGCCAAACCAAAACTGAAGAAAATATTTTTAAATCTAAATGTTTAAAGATAAAAAGAAAGTCTTGGTAATGTGAGTTGTTTTCTCCTCAGTTCTTGATCTGAAGCCTGCACAAAGAAAATTCTCATCCACCAGCATACACAGTCTAAACACGATAAATACAGCTGGCACAATAACTCTGTCCAGAACTGGAAAGACAATGATGAGTAACTTGTTCTTACCAGGCTCTAAGGTAATATTTTAAGAAATGTTTTGTTATTTGAAGAAATAAAGTGAACTTCTTAAAAAAAAATAGATTGATGTCAACAAATGGATGCTTAAAAATGTCCTTGAGTGAAATAAGTTTTGTAAAATAGTTATCAGAAATTGAATTCCAGGAAACGTGAATATTCCACTCTATAAGCTTAGGTTATTTCTTTGAATATCTGCAGAAACAAGATCTAATCTTGAATGCTGTGGACATGGTAACAACTCTCTTATGCACTTTTGCAGTCATTGTCCGGGCTGTGATGTGCTCTAGAACATTTAGATTATTATTATCATTATCATTATTATTATAATTAATTATTATTACTACTATTATTATTACTATTATTATATCAGGTTCCTTTTGAATGAAATCTGGTATTCTGCATTGTACAATTGAATTTACAAAAATTTAAATAGTGCCCTTTCAAAATGAAACCAAATAAATCTTTTTAAACATCTGCATTGGAGCATAAAAAGCATCCACAATGAACAAAAAGGGCATTTTTTCAAATACAAGTGATCATAAAGCATGGTGGGAGAGGTTTGTTGCCATATTGAAATCAATTGAACTGCTGAAAACTGCAAAAGGAAAAATCAGGGTGATTTGTTTTAGGTTCAATCATAAATTATGCTGTTGTTTCTGGCTCCATATCCACATAGCTGACAGTTACCTTTCCCTGGTGACTAAAGTACACTTGCTGGATTTTGAGAGGCAGTTGAAAAATGAGGTTAGGGATTCCTCAGCTAGAATAAAGCAACCTTGGTTTTAATTTCAAAAATACAAATAAAAAATACAAATAAAAATATTCTGTATGTGTGTGTGTGAAATTGCAAATAGAAGGAATGTGTATGGGTCTCATAAGGAAAAAAGAACCCTATATTTCCCTCTTATACTCTCTGTAGGAAACGGAGAAAAGGGAAAAACTTTTTAGTTGTACAGTGAGGTGCCAGCATGTAACATAATTCCCTGATTTAGTGCAAAGTTTTAGAGCAGAGGATTTAAGACATTACTACCTGCAGTTGTTTTCTTCACCTCTTGCTGGAGGTGTCTGCCTCTGGAATATCAAGTAGAGCAGTTAAGAGGAGAATGTCTATTCCTTTCTGACAGAGTTATGTCCTGGAAATGAGAAAAATCCACACTATGGCTCCATGGCACAGACAGTGAGGGATGAATGGTGTTGATGTTTGGAGAACCTGCATGGGGAAATGGCTGAGGAAAAGCTGAGAGCAGAGGGGCTCACAAGCAGCATTGTTGTTCACACTTTCTATTACTAGAGCAGGGCTCAGTGCCAACTCCAAGTGGGAATTTAATAATGGAAAACATCAGCATGAGATAGCACACGGATCCAGTGTCAGGGGATGCAAGTGTGTGGAGGCTTTGGGGCAGTGCTACACCCTGTGTTTACCTCAAGGGTAAAAGGAAAGCCCTTTTGGGGGGAAGGCAGCAGAGCATTCCTGGGAACACCTCAGCACTGCTCCTTGTCCTGAGAGCTGCAGGATTTCCCTGTGGACTTCCAGAGGCCACAGATCTTGAAAGGCTGCACACACAACCCTGATGATGGGGAGAAATACAGCACTCCATGGCCTGTGATTCTGCAGACAGGCAAAACTGGTCTGGTTTCAAATACATATATATACAGTTTAAAATGTTAAAAACAGTAAAGAGATTTTAAAAGCAAGATAACCCACTCCTGTAGAGAAAATTTCACAATGTTATAACACTGTTGTCTTCTAATCTTAAAGTATCTCTGACATACAACGCTGAGCTTATTATGGACAGAGGCTCCGAGCATCCTTGCAGCCTCTGCCAGCTGGGGACCACTGTACCACGACCATGTCCCCAGTTCAGGACTCTGAATTTTTGGAGGCTAATGTTAGGTCATTCATCTCTTCCTCTTTTTCCTGAATAATGCCTAAATATTCTGCATGATGAGAGTGTGGATTTGGAATTGCTTCTCTTTAGTCAAAAGATGGAGGTTGCCTGGCACTGTGCAACACTGCCAGGGCTTCAAAGGGAGAGACTGATGTGGTGATTCCTGCAGGGAAGGGGCTCTGAGCCCAGAGAAAAATCAAATTTCTAAACACATTAAAATGCATTAATAATTTCAAATCTAATTGCTTATTTTCTACAGAGAATTGCCCATACCAGTGCTATTTGAACTCCCCTCTTTCGGATAGTAAGCCAGTCAGAATATGACAACATTACTCTTCATTTCAGTGGAACAATAGTGGCATCCAGTGGTCAATCAGCAAATTCAACGCCCTGCATTTCCAGGGTTTCACTGAGATACTGTGATCTGCTCAAATACCTCATAGTCTGTCCTTGATTGCTTTTTGCTTTTTTTTTTTTTTTTTTGAATGGTGGTAGATAGTACTTTTCCTTGAAAATGGAGTGTATTTGCATTGCTTTAGAAAGAGTAAAATACATTTTCTAGAGTCCAATAGTTAAAATGTTAATTCTTCAAGGCCCCATTGCAGTTGGCAAGTAACTGCAGGGAGGGCAGAGTTGGCCTTGATGCGAACACATTTGATCTAAAGGCCCTGTTCTTGTGACGAACGAGGTCAAACAAACAGTGATACATCAGTGTCTTCTGTGTTTGATTCCTCTGGCTGTCTGGAGGAAGATCTGTGTGCAGCTTTATAAATCACCAGAAGTAATACTTAGGTTGCTATAAATCTTTGGAAACTTATTTTGTCATGTCACTGAAGTCAGTTGCATCATGTCTCCTAACTAGTCATTTCACTATGAGGAAAATGTGTTGTGTAGCTCTATACCATTTCTTCCTAGACTGAAGTCATGTTTTAAGGTAATAGGATTTTCCCTATTTGGTTTTAGAGTCTCACCTTTAAATTGTGGAGGGAGAGCTTCCATTCACACCAGGCTGATCATCTTAATGCCCATTGCCTCTGTTCCTGCACCAAAAGAAAGGAGATGTTCTCTCCACCAGAACTCCAAGTAGCCCATTTACATCCATCTTCTATTTATTCCATTCAGATTTCAGTCAAAGCAGTGAACCTAGCCCTGACTCTGTCATGACAAAATATTTGACTGCAGTCTCAGTCCTACAGGAAATTAAATGCTGTAAATGAGATCCTCTGATACCTAGGGGGAAAATGCAATAAAATTACACTAAGATCTTGTAACAAGCATAACATTTTTTTCCCATCAGATATAATCATGACAAAAGTTTAAAGACTCAAACAGGGAACCTGAGTTTTGAGTTGTGTAACTTGATAGTCATAGTATATTTGCACATCAGCCAAGGGGAAAACAAAATACTTAACAAGCTGGATTTAGATCTCTGCAGTGTAGATATTGATAAAAGATCCATGATTCCCACAAGTAATTGTGAATGTTCGGAACAGTATATCTTCCCAATTTTCACCTTAAAAACTAAATACAGTTTTTACTTTCAATGGAAATAATAGCATAAAATATGTTGAATATTTCCATCTGCCTGTGTTGATAGGATTCATGTCTATCCTAAATATGTCAAATATAACTTCAGTAGTGTTTACCCATTTCAGGTTTATGCACTGTCTTAACAGCATTTGTGCTACTTGACAAATACAGAAATACAATTAATTATAATTAGGTGGTGTGACATCTGACAGAGAAAAACTGAGTTACCTTCTTTGAGAAGTTCAGAAAAGTTTATTATCCTATAATTTAATCATATGGCTGTCAAGTGATAGGAGAGGCATTGTATGGAGGGCAGGGGGAAAATCTTCAGTTGTGTTTAGTAGATGCTTTCTGCCCCAAAATAAGGATGTTTTCAATCTCAGATGTTTTGTGCATTTCATTAGGTGTATGAAATTCCCAATTCTGATTTTGTTCAGGTTTGCCTATCCCCCTATTCTTTTTCCCTCTCTGCCTTCAAATGTGTAAGGTCCCAACTCAGTCCCCATTGAAGTGATTGTAGATTTCCACTGACTGCAGTGGGAATTGGATTAAATCTCTAAAACAACAATTACATGCCTAATTGCTTTTTATTGCTCACTTAAAAATGCATTCTTTGAAACACTACCAATATTTGTAAGTGCTGAGGGCTTAATGTGCCAAACTATTTAGGTTATTTGGAGACCTATTTTCCATCAGTGCCTGGGGATTTAAATAAATGCTATAAAAGAGTATTATTTACACTATGCATTTGTAACAAAAGTGTTTATATTGCATTATTATTCTTCATATTGATTTTCCTCTAAATGCCAAGACTTCACTGCTTTGCAGTAAGTGGGAGATCTGCTCCAACCTCATCCAAACTGAAACTGGGAGCTAACATAAGGAAAAGGGGAGTTTTCAGATCATGCTGAAAGACAGAAAAATTCTGTGAAACACTCTTCCTAGGGCTCTGTGCTGTCTCTTCTGGAGATCACCCTTGTCCTGTGTATTCCTCAGTGGACAGGCACTCCGTGTCTCCCCAGCACCAAGAGGCCGTGTGTTAGCTTGGCAGTGGCTGTAAGCAATAGTTGAAGTGACTGTGCTGATTGGAGAGTGGCTCAGAGAACTTCTTCAAGTGGCAGCCTGCACCAGCTCAGGTCTCCCTGTCACAATCCTAATTCTAAAATATGAACCCCATACACTAATGGGTGTGAGAAGGTTATGCAGAAATTAATTAACCACTGGAGATCTTTCATTTGACCTCTGAGCCTCTGAAAAAAGTAGCCACTGAAGGAAAACAGAGCAATCCTCTCCCTATAAAATCTACTTGAAAGAAACAATATAATTAAATCAACCCTGAATCTCACAAGCATGGCCTAGAGGAAGATTATAAAATCTGAATTTGGCTGCATGCCTAATGACTTTTACTGCAGAAGTTAGCTTCCTTCATCACCAGCCTCCTCTCTGAATGTGCAAACCCCATCTCTGCCACAGAGCTCTTATGACTATAATGGACCAAGTTCAGGCATCTTTCTAAATAGATACAGCAGGAATGCTCTACACAGGCCTGGAAATACTACTGAGGAGTGCTGTTAAGCACCATAAGGAGGCAAGTCAGATTTGGGAAACTGATTGAAATGGTTACAGAATTTTCTCTTTAATTTGACAGAGGATTGGCAAAGGACCTGTTGAAAGCAAATAGACTGAAATGCCATGAATCTACCCACTAATCAGCTGATCAGTAAATAAAAATGAGCATGCCATGAGATTACAAATTAAGGTGGAGAGTACATACACACTCTTCATTTCAGCAGTATTTCAATGCATGGTGATTGCAGATCAAGTGAGCCAGATTCTTCCAGAATTAGAAGTGTTTTTAAACCTCAAAAAAGTGTAGTAAAACCTCAGTTTGCTACAATATATTGTACATAATATATGCTCAAGACTCAGATTCAAAACCATTTCAACATCATATCTTGATATGCTACATTAATAAAATTATACTAGTTTCTAGTGGATAATGCTGTTTCTCTAGAGCTAATATAAAACTAAAAAATTACTCTTCTGGTAATTCAATAAAGTTAAATAACTTGCAAGTAACCTATTAAATATCTCAAGATTAAGCCTGGTATACAAGCACTTTGTTTTCACAGGATCCTTGGTAAGTGTAGAAGGCTTTTCCACAAAACCATAGGCTGAGAAGGTGGCTTCCAACTCTTTCTTTCTTTGTTCACAGCTCTGCTTTTCACCCTGTGATTACAGGCATAATTTTTCCCTAAAAGATTTACTTTTTTTTTTACAGTTTAAATTCTCATGGTCAAGTTTATCTGCATAGCAAAATTTTCCTTGCCAGAATTGTTTGATTGTTGATGTTACTATGATGCTAGAGACAAACATTTTTAGTACAATTAAGAACACCATGAAACTAGGGCAAAGCTGAAGATTGCTGAACACAGCAAAGTGAAAGGACGTTAATGTGGGACATAATAATACTGAACTTTATCATATATTGTAATGGCAGTGGATCAAGCAAACACTTCTGGATTAATGGAAAATGGTTGTGCAACAGGACAGACATGATAAAAGGAAAGGTCAGTTGTGTCCATATGCCTGGTTAGTTAAAACAAACAATTCTCCTTCTCAATTCCATTTTTTTAGTGATGCTCTCCCTGTTGCTGGGTCTGAATGGCATCTGACTGCTGCAGCACTGTGGTCAGTCAGAGCAATGCAAATGGAAGGGTTATACTTGACAAGATAATTAAACATGGACATAACATTTCTACAAAATAAAATCAACAAAGACCAATGTTCTACAAGCTGAGACATTATTAGTATTACTACTACTACCTAAGGTCTCCCCAGCAGTTTTTCAATATAAGGAGTGATGATTTTAGAACCCATTACCCGGCTTTCAATGAACTCAGGTCCATTTCCATGGCAACATGAGATGCAGCCGTCCAAAAAGTTGTCAGAAGGCTGTAATGTTTGACTCCTGTGCAGTGCATGGCTAATGACAATCCTCACAGCTGTAGGAATTAGTCTCCATTGCAGGCTTTTAACTAAATTCAATAGAAAAAGAAATATCATATGAATTGACTGAGGGTGTGTGTTATTGTACAATTTGGCTTTTTAAAAATTCAATAAAAGAAGTCTTTGTAGGAGTGTTTATTGTCTAGAAAGTTCCAATACCTGCACTTTAGTCATAGCCCAAGCCTTGCAGAAGAAACTTGACCTGACTCTTCTTTCTTTTTCTAGTTTGTCTGTTTGTTTGTTTAAAGTAAGTGCTTTTTCTGTTTCTCTTCAGCTCTGACTTGTTCACAGCCTTTGGCAGGGGATGACAGCCCATGTAACGCTGTGCATAGAGGGTGCAAGGGGGAGTTTGGCCAGGTTCATAAGCTGGGATGTGGTGACTGACAGTATATTGAATAGACTGTGGATGTGATGGGACAAATGGTCTCAGGAAGAATTTGTGCAATTTAATAGGATTTGTATGAGAAAAATACTCAAACCTCTGGAAGATTCCTAAGTCTTCAACTAATGGAAGGGCCAGTACAGGTTTTTGAAAGGTACATGCCCTGCACACACTGTTTACAGGCCGAACAGCAGCTGGATATTTCTGTGGCACTTGGAGCCATTCCAGATGCAGGGGAATGTCCTCTCCTTCCTGGAAGCCAAACAGTTGCCCTAGCTGACTGCCCTGCATATTAACACAAGAGGAAACCTGCTAAGTTCTAACTTTACACACCAAGCTGTTCAATGTGGTGGCTCAGTGGAGCTATGCATTCCCTTCAGCCACATCTCCCACTAAAACATTTGTCCATGGCAGAGCCAGGTGCTCGTCCAGGGGCTGTGGCTGCAGCACCCTTGAGTGGTGGCTCTGAATGAGCCCTGATGACATTGCTCTTTGCCAAAACACTTCTGGCACCCTCACACCTTCCCCAGCTGCCATGGCAGAGCAGTGATTGATGGTGCTGAGCATGCAAAAAGCAATCCATGGGCTAGACAGCTTTATTCTCCTAACAGGATTTGCTGCTTGCACAAGTTCCCAAAACACAGCACAGCCTGCTTCTACTTTGAGCATATTGAATTGTTAGGAACTAACTAGAAAAGTACACGGGAGGTGGCATAATACTGTGCAACATATGGCTGTTCTGGTCTGCCATGCCCAAATTCTGTCTAGCATAAATAGGCTCATTTCCCACTGACATCAAGAGTTGCTGTCTTAGATTATTCCGTACTGAAATCTAAATGTGGATCTTGATCATCTCCCACATTATCAAACAGAAACTAAAGCCAGGCAAAATTCTCATAACAGCTTTAGCATATGCCATCACTCCTTCCCTGACAAGTGATTTTACTCTCACTGCACTGACTGTCCTCTGATTCAGCAGATTGCTAGCAGGACAGCATGGAGAATGGGCCTCTTCCAAATGCACACACCAAGAAATAACTCGGTTCTGGCTTGCAGCTTGGTTTAAATGGTGCCAGAGCTGCCCCACACCCTGACCAGCTCCATTCCAGGTGTGAGAGAAGAAATGTGATGCATAAGGGAGGCTAAAACTTGACTTCTGATTCACTCCCAGGCCCCCTGCTCTCCAAGAGCAGCCATGGTAGGATGCAGCTCATGATAGACATCCACCATCTCCAGCAGACAGCTATGTTTGCTGTCACTGACCAACAAGCACATTTTAGGGAATACAAGGCCATGACGACCCTCTTTATGTGATCAGCAGTTTCTCCAGCTTTTTGTGTTCTGTTTCCAGATAAAAGACCATCCTAGTTCCTGCATGGATGGTCACCCCAGGATGTGAGGGCTGGGAGACACCACAATGGTTGTGCCCCAGGGTGCTCTCCCACCCAGCCCAGCTGTAGCACAGAGCCTTGTAAGCTCTACTTTGCCATCAGACTGCAGCACCACATGAGCACTCTTGTTTTTTCATGGCAAAAGGAAGTTTCTCCAGGAAAGGACGCACTCGGACATTCTTATTGTTTTTCCTGCAGCTTTTCTGGTGGAACAAGAGAGAAGCCAGCCACATGAGCTGTCAGTGAGATGCCCTTTAGACTGATGTTTTCAAGTGGTCTGCTCTGTTGAATCCCTAATTGCACTAATGGACCTAATGAACCAAACCTCCTGGAGGAAGCAGAGAACATCACAGTGAGAGGGGCATTTAAAATTAAATCTAGTAAAGTGCTTGGGAATATGCTGCCAGTAACAGTTCTGCCTCAGAGCTGGTGGTGGTTCATAGATCCTACTCACTCTCTGCCTGTCTTAATCTCCAAGAGCAGTTGTATTCTTCTTGGCTGGCAAAACCAGACCCACCTCACCCATGACTGTGGAGAGCAGCAAGAAGACTGCTCTGCATCACCCGAGCCGCAGCGCCTTAGTTCTCCTGCTGTGCAGGAAGGGTTTCCTGCCCTTGTAGCCTCTCCTTCCAGGATGTTCTGTGTAGATTCATTGTGTTGCATCCCATCTCACTCACCTACAAGGTGCTGGTAAAGGAGAAGGATGCTTCAGGGTTCACAGCTCCCAGTCCTGCTTCTGAGAAAATGATCCTTATCAATTCTGCTTTTGCTTTTTCCACAGGATTTGCTACTGGCAGTCATGAACCTCTGCTGATCTCCCATCTCAGCCTTCCACCAGCAGCATGTTCAGCCCCAAAGAGGAGAGGCTCATGAACGATGTTATTTCTTTATGCCAAAAAAATTGCAAATAAACAGGCAAACTTCTGATTTCCTAATGTACCCTATGGTTACTAACCGGATGTCTGCTGGTTTTAGTGGCTGTTTTAAGCTGTTTTCTGCAATTGTTTTGTCTGAAAGGGGAGTGTGTAGGGAACAGCTTGCTTCATGTTTTTAAGATGACTTTTATTACTGAGTGGCCTAGCACTCAGATGCTCAGAGTTATCTTTTGGGAATAAAACAGGTTATTTCTGTATCTCTCGTTCTATAACTGCCTGGTATATAACATCTTTTATTATACTTTTATTTCCTTAAACTGGGCAAAGAAAGAAGCAGGACCCAGCTCCTGAAGACTTGTGCTTTGGATAAAACACCAGCAGCTATGGAGATTCTGTGACCAACCTGCATTCTGGTGCTGGTCAAAGCAGCTGAGCCAAAGGCCATGTGGGGTTTGTTTTGCTGTGGTTGCCATAGAATTATTTAAAAGGTACTCCATTGCAGGACAGCAAACTCCAAAAAACAACAGTAACAACATGAGTCTTTCACATTTTTCTTCAGTTACCCTTGCTCCTGTTACTGAGTGCAAATATTTATATATGAGCCAGGATAGTTTATCCCTCCTGCTGCCTTAACAGAAACATAATATTACTTAGCAGATCTTTAGTTCCACTCACATGGAGACTTCAGCCCATTTCAGAAGAGTTTAGCTGTTAACCCCTTCAAGAAATCCAGGACTTGTAGGATTGTTACTGACAGATAATGCTGCTCAGGACCAGCAGTGGAACCAGTAGTGGGGCCTGGAGCTATGGTTGTGGGGTCTTGTGCTGTGGCTGCCAGCCTGCCTTCCTCTCACTCCATCCTGAAAAACAAGGGTGAAAATTCTAAAACCCCAATTCAGCACCTGCAATAACACAGAACAATCCCAGAACACAGTACTGGATGAACCCTTAGGTTGTTCTGTTTAAGAAGCACCTAAGCACACCTGAGGCTCCAACATGCACACTCATGTCTTTTTGAAACACTCATTAATGGTGCTTATACTCTCTAATGAGAAAGGTCTAGCATCCAGCTCGATTATTTCAGACTTTGCTCAGTGGTCATATTTTCTACAACTGCCAGGTTTATTGCTGTCTGCTGGACACCTCTCAGTGTGTCCAGTGTCCTGGCTGTGACCTGCCACTGTCAAGCCCCCATGCTGCTGGTGCAATCATCCCACTAACAGATCTCAGAACAAATCTTGTATTTTTTTCTCTACTTGCAACATCCCAGCATCAATGGCTTATATCCAGTTTGTGACCCAATATGTTTCAATGATTTATTTTTGTGATAGTCCTTTCTACTTTTGCACCTGATTCTTTCTCTGGGTTTTTGTTTGTTTGCTCATTCATTTAGGTGTTTTCTTTCCTTTTTGCTTTATTCTCTTTGCAAACTGAAATGCAACTGCAGTCAACTTTCCCCAGGGAAAGCCAAATGCAACAGCAGCAGTGTTTGGAAGCTGTGGCCATAATCTCACACAGAAGGTTCCTCTCTAGAGGAACACTCAAGAGAAACTCATAGCTAGTTTTAGGCTTGTGTGCATCACAAAGCACTTTCAATAAGCTTTCTTATGAGTTTTGTGCAATGTCAAATGCACTTTGATAGCCTGTGTACAGATGCTGTTGCTTGATGCATCCCCCACTTCTCCCACGTGTAGACAAAGGATGTGGCAGATAAACACCAGCCTTCTCCAAGTCTGCTGTAATGCACTCCTTTCACCCTTGACTTGAAACTGCTGCTTCATTAGGCATCATTTTCTCCCCCATGCTTAGCAATCTTAAGCTTTGCTCACCATCCCAGACTTCACCTCTTCCCCACAAGTGACAGTGCTGAAGGTCTGTGCACCATCCCTTGCTACTGTAAAGAATTATCTGGGGGTCAGCTCAGCAGGCTTTGCAACAAAGGCAGATTAAAAGCAGATGCAGAGACAGCAAGGGGATTCTCAAACAGTTGCTCAGTGAAGTGGGGAAAAATAATTGTAATACAAAAGAAAATAACTAATTTTCCTGGGTCAGCAATGCTGTGACTCTGAGAGGAGCTGGTAGACATTTAGACTCCAACAAGGAAGGGACTAATGCACCGTCAGCAATCAAAGGACCATGTAGCAAACATCGGTGGATTCATTTTCTCCTGTTTTAGCTTCAGCCTCCTGCTCACATGATTCAGGCTTTGAAATGCCACATTATTTGTACCAAAGCATTGTACCTGCAGATTGATGGCAAAAGTCACACAGACTCTTAGCTCAAAACATACAGCAGCAGCTCCAAAGTCAGCATTTTTACACCAACCAGCAGTAAGTATCCTCGGGATTTCACTGCAAGCCCTCTGTGGAAACTCACAGCAGCTACTGTTTCTTTTCCAAGGACACGTTCACATGTGGTACCTATCAAGAGCTGAGAGAATGTAAAATTAGGTAAGACAATCCTGATATGATATAGTTTTATATAGGTTACAGTTTTCTAATTAGAAACCAACCCTTTTATTTTTACTTTCCCTTCAACGACATTATAAAAACCTCGCTGCTCCCAGTCATTAGCTACTACGCTTTAACTAAGCACATCCATTATTTTTAGATACAGAACGAAAGTCAGTTCAGGCAGGCCCATTAGCCCATGAATCCCTCTAAACCTCTCTCTCTGTGGCTGGGACTCGAGGCAGCAGCAGAGCAGAGCCCCGGGCTGGATGTGCCTGTCTGGAGCCGATGTTTGTCTTTCCTGCCCCTTTCATTTCCAGCTCCTCGGGACAGGCAGTGCAGCGGCTGTGACCTACCCATGTCACAGCTCACATGGGCTCCGCTGATTGGGGCGGAGAGCCGAGGGGCAGGAGCAGAGCCCCCGGCACTCGTGCCCAGAGCAGCAGGGACAGCCCCGCTCTGCCCCGGGGCGCGGCCGGGGGAGCAGAGGCGCCTGCTGCCAGACCTCAGTGCCATGCTAACCATGGCTGGGGGGACAAAGGCAGCCCGAACCTGCGGCTGCCTGCCCTCACCGAGAGCTCAATCATTTTTAAATTCGGAGAATGAATGCCACGACCTGCAATTATTCATCTTTTGTGTTGTTAGCTACAGCTCCCTGCACTGTGCCAAATCACACGGTTCCAGACCGGTTTGGTGATTGAAGCCTTATCAACAACCCCATCTTTACCCTCCTGAGCCTGCCCTCTCCCTGAGCCACCCTGTCACCCCCCTGCCCGGTCCCTGGTGAGGGGCTGCCGAGGTCTGGGCAGGATCAGCGCTCTGTGCAAAGTCCCCAGGGTGCTGAGGGAGCCCTTGGCGTGGCCCATGGCCAGCGGTCGCCACACAACGATGCCACCCACCGATGCTGGGCTGTCCTGGCTGGCTCCAGGCAACGGGGAGGAGGGGACAGGAGTGCCATGTACCTTGCAGGGAACGTGCCGTGCTACCTCCCAGAGTGGCTCCTGCCGGCTGCCCTATGGCAGCACCAAGGGCACAGTGTCAGGCAGAAAAACCAGCCACACCAAAAGGACACCTTCCCTGATGGATTGCAGACCGCAGTTGTTATCACCAGGAAGAGCCTGGGCCCCAGCACAACTCTTCCCATTTTGGGTTTTAGCCCTAAAACATGCATTTCTCCAATGTGCTTTTTAGACATCGACAGTCGTGAGCAGGGAGATGCCCATGAAATGCCAGGAAAGCTGCCAGCGCTGCCGCTGTGTCTCTCAGCTCTCAAGGAATGTGCAGCTGCCACAGGGCACCACTCACCTCTTCGATTTCTTGTTGGGGCAGACCTAGCCCCAAGAGCAGCTGGTGGCCATTACATCATCACCCCTGTCCCTCCTGGGCTAGGACTGGAAGAACTGTGCTCTCCTGCAATTTTCCAGGTTGGCTGAAGGACCAGCAGGTGCTGAGCCCATGGGGACAGGGGTGTAAAGGCAGACAGGACCAGGGATGGGGTGCCCAGGCCTCCTGCAGACACGCAGCTTGTCTGTGTGCAGCATCATGGAGCTGCAGAGTTGCAGAATTCTTTGGTTGTTTCCTTGTGCCTGGTCGAGACTACGAGACTTCTGAAGGAACTGCAGTCCATTAGGCTATGCTTATTAATGGGACACCTGTCTTCAGGGAGTCTTCAGATCTACTCAGTTAGCATAAACAAGGTTAATTTGTTTCTCCAATTATCATTCATATTTAAATGCACTATTCACTCCAGAATTGAAATTTTACATTTCTAAGTGATACACAGGACTTGGTTTGGGGAATCTTCTGCTTCGTGAGCTATGCTTTTAATTAGACTTTTGATTAGTCATGAAGTCATAAGGGTTACCCAGAAGATGAGACATGGGTTTGGTCCAAGTGATCCTCTTTTATCCCATATGAACTCCCAGAGTTGGGAAGCAACCAAACAGAATACTGAGAACAGATAGAACAGAGGGTTATATATTTGTAGATGGGTTATAAACAGTAACACAACATTGTTTAAACTGTGAATAAGAAAATAATTGTTCTTAAAATAATAGATGAGTACAACCTCCCTCCTATCAAAAGTAAAATTTCAGAGGTGCTCTAAGTAGTAACATTTCTAAAATCAGACCCAAAGAAAACTTTATTGTAATAAAACTTGGCTTATCTTCAGTGGTATCAGGTTTTACTACTTTTCGAAGATGCCTAAATAGACCTTTGACAGCTGCTACTGTTATGGCATTTGTGCTGCTGAGGCCATGGCATCTAACAGATGGAAAAGCAGATAGTGCAGTAACAGCATTCATGAATAATGTTTCAGAAGCAGGAGTCACGGTCCTTAAATAAAACTGGGCAAAGCAGAGCTGAGTCAACTTCACTCCTAGATCAAAGAAAGCTCCAGTTGCTTCAACTTGGACAATGTCAAAAATGATCCATAGAAACTAAAGGGGCAAAAATTTAAACTTCATACCTGGAAAGATGCCTGAGTGCCTGTGGGCTCCCCAAGGACAGCAGTCATGAGGAACCTGCGAAGAGCCCACATGCAGGTGGGAACCAGCTGCTGCACATTGTCTGACCAGGACTCCTTCAGCAAGACCACCCACAGGCTCTCCTCGCTGCTTCCAAAATGTGGCAGGAACTGTAAGCAGCTCCCAGCTGCATTTGGTGGGCAGGCAGTCCCAGCCACTGCGGCAACTCCAAAAGCCCTAGGTCCTTATTCTCACTGTGACATCTCCCACTAGAACCCATGCAGAAGGGAGGGGCACAGAAATCAAGTGAGCAGGACACAGCAGCGCCACCCTCTCACAGAGACTGTTTTTTGTGTACTGTTCATGGAAACGACACATCAAAAGAGAGTTGCTTGTCTCCCAGCCAAACATGGAGACCAAATAAAACATTAGCAAAAACCGACTTTGTTGGGCTGGGTGAGGCACTGGTTGTGTCATCTCTGGCGTGTTGATACAAATACACGCTGGATCCAGCTTGCCTTTCGAAATAATAGCTCACTCAATCTTCATTGTGGGATTAAATAAATCAACAGCCCTCCAGGACAGCTCCTGATGGAGCCTGTTACTACCATTTGTACTGAATCAGTGGTTATCAGCCCACAGGAAATTATTGTAGCAAGCCATAATATTTGGTCTGACTGCCTCAGGGGAGGATGAACTGCTCACACCAAATCTGAGTGTTATCTCATCCCTGGCACCTCAGCGTTTGGCTTGACTGGCCAAAAGCTCTTTGTACATCAACTCTGAAGCTTGTACTGCTTTGTTGCAAAGGGTGAGAAAGGACAGAAGGCAAGACAAGAGGGGAGAGAGAGAGAGAAGTGAATTGTCATCCACTAGAGATTCCGTTCTAGAAACCCTCACTGATTCATTTGGGCTTAAATCCTTTGAGAAACTGAGGCATCACCTCCTAATATTCCTCTCAGCTTCCTACCCCTGTATCAGGGCACTGAACACCAGCACCTGGTCCTGCTGCCCCTGAACATCCCCACAACATCTCAGCTGAGCCTCTGAACACCCACAGCACCAGGATGGCCCAACCCCATTCAGACAAACAGGGCTTACAACCACAGCTGGTACATGAACAACCCAATGAAGAGTCAGTAGAATCAGGTTAAGTTAATAACAAGAGTTTCTCTCTGCATCCCCTGAGGTTCCCTCATGTCAATCCTGTGATTTCTGGCTCATTTGAACCACTTCCACCACACAAAAAGGTCTCAGAACTCACACCAAAGTAAATCCTCAAGTCACTTTGCGAAACCGCTGAACCTCAGGTATCACAAAGTAAGCAGACCACACACAAGGTGAGCCACCACGGAAGCCTGATTTTTCCTTCACATACAACTCTGTGTTTACAGATGGACTCACAGCTCCTTGCAAGTCATCATGCTACCTCTTGGAGAAGCCATATTCATACTCCTGCAGAGAGAAAGAGCCAAGACTATTTCACCTCAATAATTCTTTAACAATTTTGCTGACTACAAAATGGATAAAGATGACTGGTATTTTCCTGGAATTGACTGGGTGAGAAGATTAGAGGCACAGCAGTGATGGGATATCAGGGTGCTGGGGATTTCCTGGAAGCCACTTTGGGGATTGCCTTCATCCTCTTCCTGCAAGTCCTCACCTATGCAAAGGCAAACATAAAACTGCATTCATGGAACACTTTTATCCTGATTTCTGAATGGAATGAGGCATGGGCAGTGTGTCACTTTTTGCCTGACTAGTCCTTTGAAATTTTTGAAATCACCACTCACTTTCAATAAAACTTAGCTGAGTGGCAAAAATCTAAACGTGTTGTCTTACTAACAGGTTTTGGGAAAATTAGCAGTTGGGCAGAGAGTCTGCTCCAGAGAAGCAAGGACTGTGGTGCAATCTCAGCCACCACTGGGCACAGGAGGCACAAGCACTCAACAGAAAGTCTCCAGCCAGAGCTCACACTGTTTTTGCAGGAATTCCTCCATCCTTGGGTTTGGACTTGTTTCTGTAACTCAGCAAAACTCCTGGAGCCCATGGAGACAGAAATGTGGGCTTAGGTAGGAGAAGAGGTTCAGGAGATTTCCCTCTTGCCTGGATCCCCTCGTGCTGGGAAGGAGCTGAATGCATGGCAGCTTCCAGTTCAGAGAAACCAATCAGAAAACAGATCTATTTGCTTCTGTTGTCCAGAAAACTCACAATTTAAATGTTTAGAACTTCCAACTCACATTTTAACTGCAAAAATCAGCCATAAGCTAGGGGTTTCCTTTTGTTTTGACAAAGTATTTTTCTCCAACGTCTTTAACTACACATGCAAGCATAACTATTTTTGTTATTTTTGGTGTTCTGACCTTGCAAAAACTCAGGACTAAAATCTCTGCTCAACCATCTTTATTTCTTTTTGTGGCTCTCTGGTCTGTGAAATTGAAGGGTTGCTATAGGACCCAATACTGCTGGAATTTATCTGTTTAGACAGAACTGTGGTTTAATCTGTGCTTTGAAGAACAAAGCAAAACACACAAAAAAATTACATGGACCCTACGAAGAGATTATAAAGGAGAAAATAGGACACAAATCATTCCTCTTTAAAATTGGTAATTGTGTCTGAGAAGGGCTGGTGTGTTTGTCAGCCAGCCTCTTGCTATAGGGACGGTTTCCCATATAGCAGGGACTTTCCATCTAAACCACACCGTGAAATGTCTTCACCTCACAGCTGCGACACTCTCAGGGCTCCTTTCACAGGAAAGGGGCCTCTGACAGCAGTGCCACTGTGCAGAGTTGAAGCATGGGGGTGAGCAACTGCAAGTTCCCTGTTCACCAGCCCTTTATCCCTACAGGCACAAACCCTTACGTTTCTAATAAAATTAACTCATTTATACCTGTGGGAAAATCCCAGCCCAGTATCACAGAGTGCACTGCACAAGCCAACACACTAACATTCATAACAACTGATGCGTTAACTGGGATTTGAATAGAATCATTTAAGCATTAATAACATTTCCATCTCTGGACATCAAGCCTTTTCACTTCTGTGCATTTTGACATCCTTTAGCAACTGAGCATATTGCTAACAGAAATCCAAGTAAAGCCAACATACCAAGCATTTGTGTCACAAATACAAATGGAACCTGGGGATAAAATCAGTGCTACAGAGCTGTGAGAGTCTTTAGAATAAGCAAAATAATTTTAACATTTAGGCACAATACAGTAGATATATATTCTTAACTATTACACATCTGAAGTGCAATAATGGGTGAGGCAATGATGCTCCCAGGCCAGTATCCCAGCTTCCACAGAAACCTTAGCAGGAAAGCTAAAGAACCTGTCTGGATAAGAAGCACATCCCCAGGAGATCACACACCAAACCCCTAAGGAATTAGCTGCACTCAGAAACAAGAATTCCTTACTTTCATATATCTCAAAGCAAGTCAGGGAAACTAAAGTTCAGAGATTGTGGGTGTGTTGACTTACTCCTGGCCTGCAGATACGCATAATGTTTGGTTTGGTGTGGGTTTTTTGTTTGCCATAGCCTTTTTAATGGGAGTTTTTGTTTCTTTCAGGTTTTTTAGAAAAGTTAGGCCATATCTATGATTTTAACGAAATTAGAAGTTTAATTAATTAATTAATTAAAGTTAAAATACAGCCATTGCTGAGAATGGATTAACAAGTGATTTCTGCTTTTCTTATTCTGTATGTTGACTTTCTTACAGGGCCATATAGGAGAATCTGAAGTGCACAACTGGGATTTAGTAAAGGCTAGTTCAGAACAAAAAGATGTCCCTAACACAGTTGTCTGTGGTAAGTGCAGCAGAGGGTAGTTTAAACATTGATTCACTTCAGCTCACACAGGAGGAGATGCACGGATGCACGTACAGGACAATCCACAACAGCATTACCTGTGAGCTGCAAAGTAGCACTTCTAAGTGGGTGGGAAGAAAACAGATGCTTCTGCCTGCTGCAATGAAAAAACACTCTCAATACTGCAAAAAAATGTGTACAAAAGAAGCCAGGGACCAAATGGTACTTGAAAGATAAGCAGGATGTTTTGAATAATGGCTGAAAGCATATGAGTCTAAATTCCCTATCTTCCAAAAGACCTTGTGGGTGGGGAGAAACTATCATGACCTAATTCCTCATTTCCAGATGGATTTTTGTCATTTTCCCTGATAGAAGCATGCCTAGTCACTGCAAAATATAGCATTTAAGGGGAACTGTGTTTTACAAAGGTTTCTAGAAAAAAAGTCATCTGTGTGACTCCATATAGCAAGTAGAGAAAATAATGCAGCTGCTGGCTCATGACAAATAAAACATCTTCTGCAGTTAATAGCAAAATGTGATATCCAGGGTTATTTTTCAGACCTGCTACAGTTCACAATATGGTCTCACAAATGCCTGTGCCAGCATAAGTAGGAGTGGGTGCAAGGGGGAAAGTGGGATCACTTCTTTCAAGTGATTTCATTAGAATTATAGGCTGGGATAAATAACAGAATTTCCCTGCCTGCTTATTTTTAACATTTCTCTATGTTTTCTTTTTTTGGCTCTAATCTTACAAGCAGCCATTGCTTTGGGCAGGACCAAAGGCTGATCCTGCTCTGCGTGTGCTTGGATAGTGGCCTAGAGCCAGAACCATAGGGAAAAAGTGTAAGAAATATGAGAAGCTTAAAAGGACCCTTCCTCTATCATCTTCCATTAGCAAGTAGTTCAGAATCTTCATGTAGAGCTCTCTAAAACTGTGAAAGAATCATATCAGAAGAACTGCTCCTGCAGTTCACTGCTACTTGGAAGAGAGTTTTAAAGGAAAAATATGTCTAGAATAAAAATCTGATCAGAGAAAGGCACCATCATATATCTGCAGTAATTATTGCAGTTCAAATACATGCACAAGCTGTCATATGCACAAATACAGACGTATTTCACCAGTCTGCAGGAATTACTGAAAAAAAAAAAAAAATAAAAGAAGATAGCTCACAAAAAACCTATACAGAGGGAAAAACAGTCATGGTAAAGCACCCCCAAAGTAGTGGAAGGGTCATGCTCTGGAGGCACTCAAGCTTTAGCAGTCTGGCTGCTGTCCCAGAGGGACTCATCACCCACACCACCTAGGTCAAACTGACAGCACAGATATCAGGGAAACTTCTCTCCCACGCACACAACTGTTAAACAATGATCAGTCTAGCTGCTTATCCAGAAAGATTCAAAAGATCTATCATGTAAAATAAAACCTCATTGTTCCCAGCTTTAATAATAGTTGTCTGAAAAGCATCTCTAATGATCGTGACCACACAGGCTTTATGGGAGAGCAAATCACAGAGGACAGACCATACATCTTTGCCCTGGGAAAAGCCATGGAGCGTTTCTTCCTGCACCCAGTGATCAACTGGAAAGGCAACTTTGGTTTGGGAACAGCTGGAGAGAGAAAAGGAGAATATCACAAAGGTTTTCAAACCATAATTGCTATGAAAATGTTGTCTTAGAAGTCATCTTGCTACTGACAGCAGTACAGCAGCTCTCAAGGCTCTAAGATGCAGAAAGACCTCCAGCACCACCAGGAACACGCAGAATCTCATAACTATCTGACTTAATGGTAGCTCTTCCCTTTCCTTCCTCTGCCTCCTACGAACTGGAGTTTCTGTGAGTGTTCACCCTGAAGCCTTCCCCAGCAGAACGTACACTGATGTGCATAAATAGGAGCAGGCAGATGAAAAGTCAACTGATACAGATATTTTGGGATATTAGTGAAAAAGGGAACAAGGGAACCCCGCAGAATATGCCTTCACCAACTGCCCTTCGTTGTTTTAATTATTTTTTTTTTCTAGTCAAGTATAAATAGTGCTTTAATGGTTTCCTTGAGACAAACTATTCTGACAAATGTTTATGGAGTTAATAAGGAATTCCCTGCTCTGTGAGTAGGTAGATGTTTAGACAGTTTGATGCTGGAAACATTACACAGCCTGTGCTGTAGCAGTTCATAGGAAAGTTTGATGCAAGATCAGTTTCCTGTTCCAGTCATGTCACATTGCAATTTATAGCAGTAGACCATGAGGTAGAAGCTCCAAGGAAAGCATCCTGCAGCAACAAAGGACATGTCAGTGCAAATAGTACCATTCTCCAACCATCAATTTGCAGGTCTTTGGGGTTTGTTCTGTTGAAGACTTTTGGGGGGCTTTTTCTTCTTCTTTTCTTTTTTTTTTTCTTTTTTTTTTTTAATTAGAGAATAGAAAGGATAAAAGACCTCAAACCCTCACACTTACTTGTAGAAGAATGACTGGTAACACCTTAATCCAGACCACGAGTCAACTGGATGAGGTGCTGTAAAAAAAAACTCCTTTACCTTCACAAAAGTCACCTTTTCCTGCTTACTTGGAAATATCATCCACAGGTAGTTATTCTGCATTCCAAATCCCAAACTCTGCAGGAAAGACCTAAAGTTTTTTCCCCTGCTGCAGATGCTCAAGATCTTCATCCAAGCTCTCTTCAGGGCCTGATTCAACCAAGCAATACACTGGCTAGTATTGCTAGTAAATAGAAAAAATTTATTAAAAGAACCCCCATCCCTACTCTGGACCCACAGTACCATGAAACAACATTTCCCCATCATTGCTCAATCACCATTCAAACAGGAAGCAAAACAAGACTTTCATTTTGAAGTACCATTTTATTTTCTATTAGGTTTGTATACAGAGCTCCAGCCTAGTTCAGACAAACTGTGCTGCAGTAGCAGTGGGGATGGGGTGCTTGCATGCTGTGCCTTTGCAAGGCCACCACGGGCAGGTTTGCAGGGCAAGGTTTTCATAGCAGCGTGGGGCAGGGGGTACAGGGGTGGATTTTGTGAGAAGACACCAGAGACTTCCCTATGTCTGACAGAGCCAATGCCAGCTGGCTCCAGGACAGACCCACCCCTGTCCAAAAGTGAGTCCATCAGCAACAGTGGCAGGGACCTGGGAGAAGGTACTTAAGATGGATGAAACAAAACCTGTGTGACTGCAGCAGAAGAGGGGAGTGAGAATGTGTGAGAGAAATAACTGTGACAACACCAAGGTGGGCAGCAGGTGCTCCAGGCGCCAGAGCTGAGCTTCCCCTGCAGCCAGTGGAGGCCCATGGTGGAGCAAAGATCTACCTGCAGCCTGTGGAGGATCCCAGGCTGGAGAAGAGGAATGCCCAAAGGAGGCTGTGAGCACATGGAAAGCCCATGCTGGAGCAGGTTGGCTGGCGAGTGACTCCATGGGAGACCCATGCTGTTGGAGAAATTTGAGAACTGTCTCCTGTGGGAGGGACCCCACAAAGGAGAAGGAAGAGTGTGAGGAAACCTCACTATGAGGAAGGAGTGGCAATGACTGATGAACCAGTCACATTCCCTGTCCCCCTGGCACCATTGCGGAATGGAGATAGAGAAAATTAGGAATAAAGCTAAGCCCAGGAAAAACGGAGGATGAGAGGAAAGTATTAAGATCTGGGTTTATTTCCCATTATGCTACCCTGATGTGATTGGTAATAACTTAATTTTTCTCCAAGTCAAGTCTATAATTGGTGACCAATCTCTCCCTGTCCTTATCTTGACCCATGAGCCTTTTGTTTTATTTTCTCTCCCCTGTCCAGCTGAGGAGAGAAGTGATGGAGCAGCTTTGGTGGACACCTGGTCTCCAGCCAGGCTCAACCCACCACACCACCACCCCTACAAAGCACCACTTTACACGCTTTTCAGAACACCAAAGCAGTGAAGTAGTATTTGCACAAAAAAATTGCATTACAATAGCAAAAAACGTGTAAACAAATACACCATCTACCTTGAATACTGGGCCACATCCCTACAAGATAATGCATGTTACAGGACATCTCTCTGAACAGGGCCTTACTGTGCTTGTAAGATATGCTAAGGGCTGCTATTAAGTCTCCCAGTGCAAACCCCTTGCTCAGCCTTTGAGCCAAAGGCTAGTTCTGTTTTGACCAACACAGTCCAGATATCCACATGCAAGTGGCACCAAAGGAAGAATTTGGCCAAACCTCAGCTCAACTTTATCTTTCAGCTTCATAAAATATGTCCTTGGTGTTGGCTCTTGGTGTTGTTCTCTGGTAATTCCAAGCGGCCAAAACTTCCAAAACTTTTCAAAGTGACCTCTGGCTGAGGTCACCTGCCTTAATACCAGGGATCAGACTTTCTCTAGGAGACAACACAGGAAACTCCCCTTGAAGTTAAAATGGCAACAGGGAGTTCACTGCCTTTGAAACCAGACAGCACGAACCAGCTTTTTAGATTACTGAGAAATCTACAATCCAGTTTTTAATTTGAAATTTTAAAAATAAGAACTTTACCCTAGAGCTTTGTACTGCTGGACTCTCTTGTTAGAGCACAGTGCATAAGCCAGAACTGCAGCTGTTTGGGCTGTGGCTGCACCAGCACTAGATTTGATCAGTCACTATGCTGAAAGCCCTCCATCACTCCCTGTTTCATGGTCTCTTCCTCAAGTACCTGTTCCAGTAAGATCTGTTTGCAAATTGGAGGAGAAATGTGGTCCAGACAAGGTCCAACAATCAATGCACACTGTACTATGGTAGGGGCTTAAATTGATTTCAGGCTTTTTTTGCCTGTAAATTAATTTCTATTTGAAATAGCTTGATTGAACCTGGACAAATGGGTATTTAAACTTCCCTTAAAAATTCCTTTGTAAACCAGAGCTTTGGATCTCATTTCTCTCAGTGGCATAGCAGGTAAAGAGGAGTGAGCACACCCATTTGATGTTATCTAGGGAAGGAAGAAATGAGCTTTTCTGTTAATCCACCCTCAATGCCTGCCTACACAACAGCAGCAGAGAGTGCATCGTCTTTTCCGGCAGCATTCACCCCACTATGGAAGAAATAATGGCTTTTTGCTTTCTGTACTCTCAGATCCTGACAATCCACGGTCAGACGTACCCACACACACTGACGCCTGGTCTGGGTCTCTCATCACAGCCAGGTTTCTGGCATAGCTTTAGTAAACTATCAAACTACCTATTTTGAAAGCAAGATAAGGAGGAAGAGAAGAGGTAAGCATGAACTGTTTCATGAACTTCACAAACCAAGAAAACAGGTCACAACTCTGTCCAACCAAGATGCACAGAAACTAATCAAAGCATAAATACTCAATGAATGCCAAACCTGCAGAGTCAGGCAGGTTTCTTCTCTCTGCAGGAGCTTAAGGAGGGTCTCTCCATATTGCTTACATTTTGTTTCCGTGCACAAGAAGTCTCTGAGAGGTATTTATTCCATTCACATGAAGAAACAATTTCATGTACTTGAAAGACAAAAAGGATGGCAGCACAGAAAGTTTTCTTCATTACAAAGTGTTTTTCCATCAGGCAATTATTTATAAGAACTTTTGTTAACACTGGAGTTGAGGCTCTGGAACAAAGTGTATATATTGTTTACTAGCTTTGCCAGTCAATCTCCTCTTACAAAACCTCTCCCTTCCCCCTCTCCTTTTCCAGCCAAGTCATTCCCTTGCATAGCTCAGGAGTTTCCTTTGTCACCAAGATCTCCTTTTCCACAAATTGTCCCTTGAATAATGCCATCTTCAAGGTAGTGGCCCGAGATATCCGTGCTCCTGCAGAGAACTGTTGAGGGGATCCGAGATGAGCGTCTCTCCTGGCTCTTATCCTCAGAGGAGCAGCAAATCATCCTTTTCATGGTAGCCCACATCTCATCATCTTTGTATGAATAAATTATCGGATTCATGACAGAGTTCAACAGGGCCAGGAGAAGAAACCACCTTTTAACATTCTGAATCCCACAGTCAGTACAGTTCAGGCCATCAAGCAGTAAGACAACCAGGCCAGGGGTCCAGCAGACAACAAAGGCACCTAGAAATATAGGAGACAATAAAAAGAAAAACAAATCTGACTTCAAGCTTCTAGGGTTTTGGACTGTTTAACATCTTACAAGATTATTGAGTTTGTCAAAAATCTACACAAAAATGAGAAAAGCAGGAGTGGACAAAATTCTAATGATAGCAGCAAGATTGTATCTGCTACAGCTCTTCTGCTGCCAAGCCCTGAGCAGGAGGCAGGGCAGCTCTCAGAAGACTGCAGGGAGCAAGAATCTGAGCTGCTGACAACATCAACTCAAACACACGTGGGAAAAGGTCATCACAACAATGATTTATCCATGCTGATAAATAAACAAGAGCTCTGGAGCATTTAAAAGCAGAGAACTGGTGCTTGAACACACTTCCTCTGTTCATCTCTCTCATGTACTGGAGGAGAAGCTATCAGATGGTTCACTTCCACCACTGCCATAACATGATCCAAAGAGATGAGTCTCCAGCCACCCTACAGCTGACTCTGCAGTGCTAATTATTAAGACAGGTGTCACATAATTTAAACATGTCCTGGGTGGGAAACCCACAGCTGGTGTAGGATGCACGCCACTGCCTACAACCCACAAGCACTGTGAGCTCCCTGGTCAGAGCTGAGCCCACCTCCTTCCACTGCACCCTGCCAGGCTCTGCATGCTGAGACACAGTAATCTGGCTGCAGGGAAAAAAATTTAGTTACACAGGAAAAGAGAGGAGAAAACAAATAGATGAGTTGGTGAAGGTGAAGTGAATGATGTAGCTGTAAAAGCAAAGAAATGAAGGGGTGGGGAAAAAAAAATCCAAAGCCAAATCACAAAAAGTATGAGGAAGTAAATGCATAGTAGTGGTGGAGGAATAGAAAATTCTGCGAGAGAGGCAAAAAAAAAAAATTAAAGGGAGAATAAAGGAGATCTTAGACAGACTGAACACAGCACAAAGAAAACATTAAAACCACAGCTTAGAAGGCAGTTCAACATTGAATTTGCACCTTCCCATGTTCCTGCACACCCACACCATAAGTGAGGGTGAGGAGGGTAACACTGCTACCAAGTGCAGCCTCAGCCACAAGCTGGAGAGGGGCCCTGGAGTGCCCCATCTGCCCCTTGGTCTCCCCACTGTGCTGCACCCCGTGATCCCTTGCCCAGAGCCCAGGGAAGGAGTAGCCATATGCATGATAATACTAACTTAGCACAAGCCACAATTGCTGTCTGACATACAGAAATAGAAAATTACAACTCTGCCCAGCAGTCACAGTTTGAACAATGTACCAAGGAAATTCCGATCACTTATCACAGCAGAGTTTCCCCATTTTGGAGCTCGGAGAAAAAATAATTCAACAAATAATAGCATCTACATGCCTAAAAGCTCTCTGGGGATATGAATTTCTGTTCAACAATTTTGGTAGAACAAGCAAGTCCACCTCATCTTTTAAAAGCTGCTGGTACTCCCATATCCAAGCTGTGGAAGCCAGCAGTGGGAGGGATCACAGCAGGAGCAGGCAGCACTCTGCAGCACCTCAGGCACCCCAGCACACTCTGCTGCACACACGGGCTGGTGGCAGCAGCTCTGACACTTCTCCCCATTGAGGACTGGAGTGGACATTGCCCATATGGCAGGCAGGCTGCAATGGCATGCCAAGTGGATTTGTGTGAAAAATGTATCCAGGATGAGGTGCTGTGGATCTTGCTGCAACCTTGGGCTCCTGGACTACAGACAAAATTCAACTGATTTACTCTGTTCTAGGCAATACTGAACAGAAAGGCAAGAGACCACTGTCTTCAGAAACTGAATTTTCTACTCTGCTGTACCAAGATTTTTGTGATGCTAAGTACTAATTTCATGGTGTTAGTTTTGAGATACTGGTTAACATCAGTAACATTCCTCCATTGCCCACTGGCACTGGGAGCTGCATGCTGCTACCACAACACTTGTTTTCCCTGCTCAGTCTCTGTACCACACACTGGTTTGGCTCCTGCATGTTGAGTAAGCAGTTGCAAGCAGGGCACCAGCTCTCTCTTATCATCTACAATGGAGAAAACACTGCACAGATTTGCTGTCCTGGGGTTCACCAGCAAATCAATTTTAACAAGTAACTCAATCACCCAGACAATACTGTGCCTAGTTAAGTGTCTCAGCAAGCATTTGGACACAGAGCTTTCACTACCTACCAAGGGTCACTGGCACAGCTGCCAATCCACCAGCTCCATGCAGAAACTGAGATGGTAACAAACCTTCCTGAGAACAGATGCTGAAAGCATTTTGACCACTTGTTGCAAAAAGTGTGTAAGGTACAGCCATGCTTTTATGTAAGTCAGCAGGAAAGGAAAGAGGCACCCCTAAAGGCACATTTAACAAAAGACACTGAAATCTGTCCATCAAACAGAACCAAAGATTGCAGGCAGGAGTAGTCCGTGAACTTGCAGGATGTATCCCTGTCTATCTATACAAAAAAAACCCCTAAAAGGTTTCAGCTGCAAAAGTAAGGGAAGATAAAAGACCTGAAGGGATGTCTCCACACATTTCCCACAACTGAAAACAAGGATGGGGCAATGCAGTGACAGTGTCCAAGTTACTGGATAATGCTTTCTCAGGGCTGCTGCTTTGACTCCATCAAAAACACATTTTGCTCTTAGCACCACAGAGATGAAAGCGAGGCATGTCTCAGACTCGCAGCCTTGCTCAGATTCTGTTATTTTTACCACCGAGTTTCAAAGGGAACCATGGTTAAGCATAAAAATATACCTTAGACTCAGCCCTTCGGCAGTTTTCTTGTTTGCAGAATATTTATCCCATAGGAGCTCCCCTCCCTGACAAAATGCCATACTCCAAAAATAACTTCTGGGACTCTTTAAAATTCACAAAAGTGACATGAAATACAGCCTGGCTGCCACATAGAACAACTCGGAGTCTTTCCACCAGATTATGGGAGATCAGGTGTCACAATGCCTCAAGGTTAGTTTGAGGATTTTCCACTAGCTTTAACCATGAAATTTCTTGTAGATTACATCATTTCTGTTTAAAAATTAATTTCTGTGGATCTGGAAACACTACTGATGCTTCAGCAGCATCATTTCATAAATTCCTACACATCAAGGCTGTCCCTGAGCATGCCAACACCAAGAAAAAAAGAGTGCAGGAGGTTCCAGCTGCCAATGCCACATGTGCAACCGAGTTAAAACAGCAAGTTACCAATTAAACTATAAATTCACTGAAACTGAAAATCATCCACCCCAAAGCTGTTATTTCAGCAGGAATCTCACTGCCAGGTTCAGAGGAGCTACCACATACACAACCACCTGAAAATCACACACCCGCGCACCTGCAGCCACTCTTCCTCAAAGCTACAGTCACAAACTGAGCTGGGATTATGCCACAAGATCAGCCCAAGAGGATTTTAGCCCATTTTTCTTGGTTTCACATCTTCCAAATTCAACTAGGTAACTCTCTGTGGTTCAGCATGCCAAAGGGAAAGCCTCACTCCCATGCCATGGTGGGCTATTTTGGGGGTTATGGCAGGAATATGCAGATGACAGGGACCTGACTCCCAGCCTCTGGCAGGGACCCTCTGAGCCTAAGTGATGGTGCAAAAAGCCACCTGAAGCTGTGGTCATCAGGAATCCATGAAATGACACTAAAATCTCAATTCCTCCAACTCTCAAATCCTGCAGGGCCACAGGAGGAGAACACCCAGAGAGGACAGGGATGTTTTGCTGGAAGGGCAGCCAGCCACAGCCCAGCCTTCCCAAGGAGGGAGCAGAGGAAGCTGGGAGGAGCAGCAGCATGCCAGCAGTACCCAGCCACACACATCCTCCTTCCACGCAGCAGCAGAGGAGGATTTTGTCCTGAATCTCCCATGAAACCAATAAAGCACATGAACAAAAATATTAGGGTTTATTATGCTTTATCCAGCACAGCATCTTGGAATGGGCTTTTAATTAAATTTATATCAGGCATGTACTCCAAAGCATTTTCAGATGTTTTGGAAAAAAAATTTAAAATAACTGCTTCGGGCAAAACCCATGTGCAGCATATAGCTCCAGGCTCTTGCATTAGCGGTTATAAGCAGAATTTTGGAACAATCACTTTGGTCATTTGGTGACTCCTGTGGTAAAGTCCAGAAAACAAGCTATTTGGTTTTTAATATATCTTGCACACAGTGCTTGAATGACTTGGGCAGGAGAGCACATTTCAAACTGTTTAAAAAAATAAGTCCGCATTCTTGAAAATAAATGGTAATAAAAAGTGCCTCAGTCAAAATCTGGATGACTGATATGAAGTTATAACTGATATGCCAAGATACATTTCCTCTGACCCATGAGCTTGAAGTAGACTGTACACCCAGCAAAACCAGCACTTAATTTAACTTCTTTGGAAGCAGGCTCTGTTTCGGTTTTGTTTCTGACTGACAAGCAAATATACAAAATTATGATCTCTAAAGTAGCACTCAGGCTAAGTTAAATTTTCCTGGCCAAGCACACAATAACATTAAATGTTCTGCCTCAATTATAGCTCAATTTCATGGCTGAAAAGCCTTATGCTGTAAGAGGAAGCTGATGCTGAACATCAAAGCAACCCATAGTCCAAAGGCCCCACTCCCTAGTAAAAGAAATACCAAGTTCGAAATGAGATTTTAAGTGGGGTTTAATTCCACACAGCAGCACTGTCACAGAGAACACTGAAGGCTTGCCACAGGCTAAAGGACCATGAGGGATGAGCAAATGGCATCCCCGTCCCTCCAAGTCCCACACTGGCTGCAGGGTGCAGTTCTGCCTTCAATAGAAATGCTCCAAGAACTGCTTTTTAAAAGTGCTCTGTTTTCTGTCTCTTTCCAATGCAGCAGTTAACTAGAGTCTACTCATCCCTATGCATTAGGACAGGATCATATTTGGAGCAATTCAGAGTTGACCTGCAGGGATTTTGTCCTTCCAGGTGTATGGTTTAGGTTTCACTGCACAAGAGCTTAGGCAGGGCAAAAGATCAACCTTGTTCTTGCAAGTCAAGGGCAGGGTGCAGGAACAACCACCAAACTGACTCTCAAAAGAACAGCTGGGGAAGGATATAGAAAGAAAAGGCTCTGGCAGTGGACATGTCAACTCCAGAAGGCACAGAAGTAAAAGTGAGAACCTTGTACATGCTTGAACTATCAGTCTACTTTCTTTCACAAGGTCAGGCACTGTGAAGTTTAATGGAATTCAGCTTCTGAAGCTCTTTAAGACATCATTCAGCGGACAAAGGTGTTACGTAGCACAGCACTATTATTTCAGAAAAAAATAATAAAATCAAACACCAGACTGTGCAAACAGCATCCAAAAACTGCAAGGGGAAGAAAGTGTCCTCAACTTGAACTTCCTACCCTTTTATTTCCTACCTCCATGAAAAATTGCACTTTTCTCCCAGAGCTCTCTAATACCACCACTCTGCAGTATGACACAACTGTGGCCCAGGTATACATGACCACCAACTTCCTCAGAAGCTCCAGCTTTGCTACATTGGCTCATCCAACCTCTGAACAGCTGTTAGAGCAGTAAAGCCGTATTTGTGGGTTTAGAGTCCTCCACCACCACCTGAGCCCAGCTTCAAAAATGTCTCAGTGTACCCCCAGCTCCACCTGGAGCCCTGCTCACATTATATCTGGTTTCCAGGATGCATCTTGTTCAGATTCAAGTAATTCTGTGGAAAATTGACTGCTACAGCTAGTATTTGTTCCAAGGATCAGTCACCTGCTCAGTTCATCTCCAATTTAATGTGCACTACATCACAATTCCCTGATGAAGTGATCTGAGCTGCTTAAGTATCAACAGCGAATTTAAGGCAGAAGCCAGGGTAAATCTCATGTTATGATTTAGAGATCTAAGGCTAGACTGTACCATCATTATCTAAAAGTATTTTGCACCATGCAATATCCACAGAATGAAGGTGAACTCTTCCCTTGAAAATCAAACCCCTATTAAAATCACAGACCCACAAGCCATTCTCTCCTTTCCCTAGGGAAGGTGCACTTCCAGGGGGAAGAAATTTCTATGTCCAGGAAACAGCCAAGAGGAAGATGTGCAAAGAAAACAATCAACAATCAACATTAGTGCTCATGGCCTGGTGCAAATAATTTTTGCTTTGTAACAAGGCAGCAATACTTTTCTTCTGTATGTTGACCGGTCCTCTATCTCATGTTTCTGCATAGTGCAACAGCTATTTCACTGTCTAAAGCACACAGAAATCTAGATGCCTCCAGCACTTATAAGTTCAGTGAGGGTTTTTTTTTTGTGTTAGGAGGGCTGAGCAATTTTTGTGGAGTTTTCTGTTGGTTTGTTTCAAATGAAAATTAAACCAAACCAACACAAACCAATCCACTGGCACTGCTAGCCTCACCCACCCTGGTTTGTAGCCTCTTACCCAAGACAGTCATGACAGTCTTCATAAGCTTCACAGGGGTTCTCCTCCGGCTAATGGACCCACTAGTGTGTGACGACAAGACGTTGGTTTTCCTCTGGACGTACATGTAGATTCTTATGTAAACCACCACCATAATAAAGAAGACAACCAGGTTTAAGACACTCCAGAACACCAGGTAACTTCTGCTGTAAATGGGTGCCAGGGATGAGCAGACAGTAATGTCACAGAGGCAGTTCCAACCCAACGTCGGAACAGCACCCATGAAAATAGCAATGGCCCAAATTGATGTAATTAAGAAAGTGACTCTCTTCTTGGTGAGATTGCTGTGGATCTTCATCCGCATGATGGACATGTGGCGCTCCACAGCGATGACGAGCAGGTTCACCAGGGATGCCGTCAGGCTGGTGTCCAGGAGACCCTGACGCAGGAACCAGCGGTTAACTGTCAATGTCTTAGACACCGGGCCCGTGTTGAACATCAAGAAGACGTAGGCGATTCCAGCAAAAAAGTCTGCAGCTGCTAAGTTGGCCAGAAGATAGTAAAAGGGAAAATGAAACCTCTTGTTCTTCACCACAGCTGCTATGACCAATGAATTTGAAATGAAAATGAAGAGGCAGAAGAAAGTCCCAAAGCACAGAACACCAATGAGCTGTGGTCCTGTCCACTCATCCGCTGTGTCCGTCTTTGTCCTGTTGTAAAAGAAGTCCATGCGCTTGTCATAGTAGCATTCGTTCATCCTGGATTAAAGCCCCTGCATCCTAGGAAGGGTGGAGGGAAAAAAGCAAGAAGATTAACAATCAGCTAATAGTCCTCGCTTCAATCACCAATCCTTTGTTTTTGGGGGACAAGGGGCTGTGCCAGAGACACAAGAGAGTGTGTATATGGAGGCCTTAAGTAAAAATTCAAACTGTACAGCGTTGATGCAAAAGATATTCTGGAGGACCACAGTGCATGATGCTTGGATGAATCAGGAATTCTAAAAGATTTTCCTAATTTAAAAATTCCACCACAGTTCTTTTGCACTAGCAGTCATACTGTACAGGCAACAAAGTGGAAGTTAAGAAAATTACTTTCTGGAGGTCATGGAGAAAATCTGAGCAACAGCCAAGCCATTCTTGCTATGAAATCCCATGTTTGAGCCACAGCCCCATCATTATTTCCATTTCTCAGTGTAGCCACTTGGGATAGGGAAGCATAACTCATAACTCTTCCATTTTACTGGCTAAGCAATAAAAGGCCCATTACAGACAAAATACTTTTTGGTTTTCCAATTATATATTAATAAATTAAAAAATGTATGCACATAAGATACTACAGGCATATATATTCTGAACTCATATCTTTTATTTACTACCAGAGGACTTAAGAAAATGTGCTGAAAAGGGAAAAATATTTTCTAGATATTTGACTATTCTAAAGCCAGGAATTATTTTACTGGGTTCTCAACCCAGGCTTGTGAGCACCACACAGCCCAGTTATCTTTAAAACTAAAATCCAGTTCCCTACCCAACCACAGGTTAAAGCAAGCTCCAGGAAGAGCAGTAGTGCTGGGGTTTATTTCTCGTACCCACTCAGCACTATTTTGGACACAGGGCTATTAAACCTGATGATGGAGAGGGAGACCAAGTTCCAGATTACATCACACTTCTGCTACTCTGGAGAAGCCAATGTCAGCTGCCTTGGCAATTTTACTGCTTTTTATGAACCAGACTGAACCTGGACTAATTTACACAGCAGATCTGACAGCAATTATTCATGACTGCTGGACCCCACGCAGGGTCTTACAGAACAGAAGGGAGAATTTATGTCTGATCATCACACATTCACTGTCAGTATCTACAGAAGGGTTTAAACAATTCATTAATAGATATTTTACAGTTTTAGCAAAACCCAGGAACACAGCCATGGCACAAGTTCTTAACCACAGCGGCAACCAACAAAAAACTTAGAAAAAGTGGTTACAGGCAGAAAAATTTTAAAAAGTATAGGCTTTCCACCTCTGCAGCTAAAATTGTTGACAGATAAACATCAGGTTCACTTAGTCTGTTATTACCCTGTGGTTATTTTATAGTTAAATCTCATCTCCCCAGGGACCAGGAAGCAAATTAAACAATCCCCGGCAGGCTGGTTAATGCATCAGTGTTATATTAAAGGTTCCTTCCAAGCTTTAAACTAAAACAGTCCATTTATGTTATGCTACCTGTGTTATTTCATGCAATATTTACAGTATAAATTTTAAATCAAATTACACTATTCCATAGTTAGTATTTTCAAGAAATTTCTCTTTTTTAATATTCCATTCTTCTGAACTAGCTCCTTAGCCTTTTTTTCCTTGATTTTTCTTAATTCCCACCTAGTAGTCAACACGAAAGCAGGCCACTTGACATTGTTGTCCATTTTATTGCCCTCAAGAACTTGGGCAGCCACTTTTTTTACAAAAGACTATATTACTTAAAGCATCAAATTTAAGCACATAGTCAGAACTAAGAACAGCTACTTAAGGACAAGAAGTGGAAGGAAACAAGTAAAGCATCCCTTGTGCTGAAATATTACAGAGCATCCCTCTATCTAAAAATAAAAAAGCCTCAGCAATACAGATCCACTGCAATGAGTCAACTGGAATTCAACACCCACTGCTCCCTGTTCACAGCAACAAGGGGGAGCTGGGCAGTCTGTACATTCCCCATTCTCACCTAGGAAGTACTCAAAATCAATTTCAGTCTGTAAGTGACCAGAAGTCCCTGAGGAGCTCCAGACTACTCGAGTAGCCGAGTGCTGGGAACCCTGCCAGCAGAGAAGCCTCTGCTCTAACACATCAAGGCAGCAAAGGACCTACTGAGCTTGACATTAAGCTTTTACAGAACAGCCCAAATGCCTGCAAATAGAAGCAGCATTTTGGGCAAGAATGGCAGAGTAAAAAAAATCCCAAAAAACAAAACTGTGAAAATTACAGGGAAGGTTTTCTGAACATGTTGTATCTTACTGTGTAATCATCTCAACAGATGAATCCTTTGCTTGCAGTGACAAAGAATAAAGAAATCTGCAGATGCTTTCTGCATCTTATTTGAAATAGTAACTAAAGAAAAAAAAAATATTCACACATCATAATTCTCTACTAAAATAATTACACTACAAACACTTACTGTCACACAGCAGAGCTCAAATGACAAATGATTTTGAAAGAGATGTCTTGAGGTGTTGAGGTAAGATGAGGAGTAGAAAAGCATCCAGCTGAGGTCTCAGAGTCACAGGGCAGACTCTGGAGATTTCCAAATGGAAGCTGCACCGAAGCAGAAGCTGAACTGGAGCTAGTTTACACCCCAGTTCTCCGAAGCAGAGATGCAGCGCTTGGCTGTCTGCACCAGCCTGTGTGCAAAAAGCACTTACAACACCAGGGGCCTTGCAGACTGTGGTTTTCTTCACACCTTTTTCTGAAGTCCTCCCAGCAGAATCAGCCTGGTCTCAGGGGAGCTGTACACAGAGCTATGCAGCTGTGGTCCTGCCCCAGTCCACACCAGGCACCAGATGTGGGATAGGATATCCCATAGCTCCTGGCATGTCACATGTCCTGGCAGAACTTTCTTCTCCAGGTCTTCTCTTCTGCAACCAAATCAGAGATGCTTATCTTAATCAGGGCAGATTTAAACTTAAGAAGAAGAAAAAAATATAGCCCTTAAATATAGCCCTTCATTAAAAGTAACCCTTAATTATTACATATTTCAGATCTGTTTATTAAGTAAACGAGAATTTGAGTATTCAGGCAAAATATTGTTCCAAGTTAGTAGAAAAACAGCTAAACTTGTCAGTCCAGACTTAAAAAGGCAAGAGAGTCATCCAGAGAGCTCTCCACTTGTGCTACTCGCTTTAAGAATTGCCTTATTTTGCTTTGAAATTGGCCCTCCCAAAATTGGTAGCTCTTGGGTTTTTTATGAGAAAGGACAGCCAACAATCTCTATGCACCTGTTCTACAGCACTTGGTGTTTCCTATCCCACCATGCAGACCTCCAGCAGTTATAACATGTTGCATATTCTACAGGTGAGCTGAGCTAACAGCTTGCTCTTTCACTTGCTGGCAAATACATCAAAACTTGTCAAGTGCCAAAAGCATATCCTTGTCTAAAAGTTTCTTTTCCTCATCTCGATTTATTTAATTACCTTATTTCAACCAACAGTGGCCACGAAGGTCACAAACCGATGGACTATGAGCTGCATTTTCCTCCACTACTCTTGAGTAAACATTTAAGATTTTTCTCTTGTGTGGGAAAAATCCTCTGTTCCACAAAATGTCAAAGGATTTGGGATTTTAGTTAAACTGTTCAAACATAAAGGCACACTTTAAGAATTCTTCCCAATACATAACATCTTGAACTTTATTTGTCTTAATGACCGTTTGTATATTTTAATTGATTATAAATTCCTCTATGGAAGTATAACTCTTACCAAGTCAGAATATGTTCTTCAAATAAAAGTCAAGAAGTTGCATTAGTATGTAGGAAAATATTACACAAGCTACCTGAATAAAGGATATAGTGAAATAAAACCTCACTTACATAATATTTTCAACAAAAAGTTTGGCTAGTTGCAAGCCAGCATGCTTTAATGGTTGTTATTCAATTGGAATCCTGCTTGCTTCAATAAATTCACAAAAAATCTGTATATTTATAATGAAATTAAATATCAGTTATTGAAGTCAAGGATTTTTCTGATTGAAACTAGGATTAAAATTAACTTTAAGTAATTTTGATTAAAAATTAAATCAGCTCTAAGTGGAGTTACTCATTATTGATGAGTATTATTAATATTAACAGTTCTGAAGGAAAACACAAATAGTATTTTAATGATACAGTCATTATAAAATTTAGCTGGCATGCCATAATGTGGTTCATGGCACACCCCCATGGTTTTCTGCCTCTTCCTTGTCCATTAAAAACCAGGATGTTTCAATACATTGGCTACAACTTTATTGAAGGGCTGGCGTCAATTTGGGGGACTTTGATGGCTTCTGTCCTGTTTCTGTATAAATGTGAGAGGGAGGGAGGGAGCAGACAGGCCTGGGTTGGCACAGACAGCTACTGTGAGAGGGTTCAAGCCAGCTTTAGAGATGGACTGAAAGGTCCTCAGAGAAAAACTGTGCCTACAAGGAGGATGATAGTGGTGAAGCCCTTTAGCAGGGCTGAAAGTCATGGTAGGGGAGAGGGAAGGGTGTTTGCCCAGGCAGAACACCATCCTGGTTTACTGCTGGTTTTCCTGAGCTGGAACAGGAATTTCTGTGCAGAATTTCAGGGCAGTTCAACACCCAAAATGATACATTCTGGAACAGGAGAGATGACAAAGCCAGTACAGTCTGGGCAGGTCTGTGAGACGGCGCAGAGGAGCAAGCTGTGCCCAGGCTCAGCCTGCAAAGCAGGCAGGCTGCCAGCTCTGCCTGAGCACTTTGCCTCCTGCCTCCCCTTCTCCATTAGCAAAGACCAGGTATTAAATACAGATCTCTAAAACGTTTTGAAACTTACTACAGAAGTTTCTCTGCAGAAAGCTGAGTTTATCACACTGATCACAGGCACAGGTGGCAGAACAAGGAAGAGAGTCACCTGAAATACTCTCTTCAGATTGTCACCACAGAGAAAGAGCAGCAGCAATTGCCTACTTGCACATAGTCCTTTGGCTTTTTTAATTTGTCCTACAATCAGCAGATGGTTCTTGACAGAGCACCACCAAAGCAGTATCTGGAAGCTTGCAGCCTGCGCAGCCCCTGCCCAGGGCTCCCCACAGTACTGCATTTCCCTGCCTGCACCCTGTGCCACAGGCAGACACAGACACCCTCTGTCCTGTCCTCTTCTTCTGGATAAACCACCGCTGCTGCCTTTGTTTTTCCCATTACTGAAAAGCTCTCTCACCCTACTCCCCAGAGGAAGGCAGAGGCAGAAGGAAGCCAGGGTGCTGGGCAGCCAAAGCTATACATACCAGCAGTGGCAGTCCAGAGTGGGAACTGGTTCCTTGTTCCCCTCCACACCCTGCTACATGTATGGCCACAGAGGAAAACACAACTGAATGATTGCACGGTAACCCAAGAAACCCATCCAGGTTACCTCAGCTTAGAAAGAAATGCCAGTGCAGAAAAGGGTGTGTAACAAAGCAGAAGCCAAAAATGTTAATATGTAACTGTAAGGAAGAGTTTTGTGAGGTAAGTGCTCTGGTTCACTTTTCATTGTCTTTAATAGTTTGTTGATATTATGATCTAAATAATTTAGAGAAACAAACTGAAAGGAAGCACACAGAGAACACAAAATTATGCATACAAATATATCTAAAGTTTTTTTTTTAATCTGTTACTACTAGAGGATGTAATTGAAGCCAACATTCATTTAAAAGGTTTTACAGAGACAAATTATCTCAGAAATGCAACTGTTTTACATTTTGTTTATTAAAGAAATTGCGCAGACACTACCTGTACTTGAAACAGCATGGTACATGGTACACTTCAAGGACCTGAGAACGTCATTTTTCAAAAATATTTTTAAAATGCAGCTTTACAAATTGGGGGGGGAAAAAAAAAAGTTATGACTAAAAAACTATGAGGCCAAATGAGTAAGTTTTTCAACCAGAGAATTTGCTTATTTGTAAGGGAATCTACTTGTGGTTGTGTTTGGCTCTATTTTTTTTCTTTACCTGAAGTATCTCCAAGTTCAGATAACTGGCTGAACTCAAATCAATCACTCCCAAGCAGCATAATCTCATTACCTTGGTCTTCAGTACATTTTAGACTAAGGAGAGCAAAGTGCCACATCCATTTTCTCTCCAAACCTGTTTCACCTACGTAATGTTAACTTATGGAAATTACAGCAGCACTCATACTTTCACCATGATTCTGGGTATTTCCAGTAATAGTCCGTTTCTGTGGTGTCATCTTGTGGACTGGGAAAGGAGTGGGGCAAAAGGAATGAAGATGATCCTTTGGCAGCTTTTAAGTACTCGTAGTGGAAACATTTAAGGTTTTTATTTATCATACATCCTGCATAAAAGACCAATGCTATATGGTACAAATATAGAGCCACAAGCAAAGTATTAAACATGAAAAACTGAAAATGTAGAACCTCAAGACTAAATATTTAAAGTTCCAGAGAGAGGAAGTAGTACTGCCAGCCACGAACCACAGCGCTCTGTACACACAGTCTGATAAGAGGCTTAAAGATCACTGTCAGGGCACACAAGTGTCACCCTGTGCATCTAAGTGACAGTGCTGTTCCTCTTCCAGACTGACAGTGGTAGTTGAACTGGGAAACAGAGCTACAGAGGCACCTCCACCAAGGTATTACAAAGCTCAGGCTCCAGCTCCTGAAATCCCTTTAGCTCTACTGCACTAAATTGCTTCTGAAAGCTGATACATTGCAGAAATTTGTTAGGGGCAGATAGCAAGTAACTCACTAGTTACCACAAGTTTAGACTTCAGACTTTGGTAATTTAAGACTTTCTGAAATTATGGTTTACTAGATCTATATATGGAGTTCAAACTAAAAACTTTGCTGCAAAGCCTTCATTTAGTCTCCTTTAAGTGTGGTTCTGGAAGGAGCTGGCAGGTCATCCTATAATGCGGGAACAGACACAGCATTTAAAGTATTTAAAAGTCATTCAAACAGCCTATACATTGTGAAACATGCCTAGAAGAAAATACCTGTTCAGCTTCTAAAGTAAGTTTCCTGTTTCTGCAGGACTTCCAGATCCTCTCACTGGTCACTACCAGCTCCCTTTCACTATTCAGCAAATCAGCTTTCTTTCACAAAACCTACAGAATGTGGATACAGACTATTTCGGCACAGTCCCAAACAACTTTTATTGTGTATTTTCAGCATATACTGATGAGGACTTAAATCACACCAGTCCTGATTAAAAACAAGTCAAGAAAAATATGTTCTCTAAGGTGTCAAATCATATACTTCAGAGACTTTATCATCTGATACCATAAAGCCTAAGCTGGAAGACATTCCTAAATGATTAATGGTCAGCGCAGCACAGGAGGATAAGGACACAGCCAGTCTAACTTGCCTGAAACTTTCACCTAGCATTCTGAAAAAAAAAGCTAAATACATCTCTCAGCTTTACATGGGGTAAGAACTGCTGCTCCTGTACCGATTATGCAGATTTGGTTTGTGGGACTGTTTGATTTGCTTGTTTGCTTTTAGTTTAATTTTCAGTACAGAGATAAGCTTAGTGAAATCAGATTTTTCACTCTACAAT